GCCCGGGCCACGGTTATCAGAGGATGTTTGGCGCCATCTCTGGAACCGGTACAAGACCGGAGGGCATATCTCTCGCGCCCCCCCTGCTCGGTATGGGCGTTCTTCCCCCTATCCCACAACCTATCCTATTCCCCTGCTTGCGTCGATCCGACTCCGGTGGCTTGCATCCCCCCCGCGGCCTAGTTTATCCGTATTCGCCCTCACCGACAACACCGTCTACCGCGTCGGACCTCCCTGGAAACAGAGCGCGACCAAGTCGGCACCGCCCTCGTCCTCCTCCCGATCACCGTCTGAGGCTGAAACGCCCGACACCTCGCGCGCGCGGACTCGCTGGATCTTCCCGGGCTCCACACAGATTCGTTGATCCTATCCTTGCCAAGGTCGAGTTTGATATCGACCGACGGAGAGCGGCGTGGTATGACCCGTGGCTGAGGAGTCGGCGGTTGAACCGCGCAAAGAGAAAGAACAGTGATGTGCGAGAGGATGAGTCGTCGGTGGAGGAGCACGGCCGGATGCTCAAACCACCGCTCGAGCTGAGGCTGAACGGGCGCGAGAAGAACGGGAGCCCTGGGTCGCTGCCACCAGATCCGGTCCAATATTTTCCTTTGTCGGAGTCCCCTTCACCCATGGAAGACGAGGACGCCCTCGAGACAGGCAAGGACCCACTCGCCGACGTGTTTGGTTCCGATGCTGACACATGGGCAGAAGTCCATGCGGAGAACGCCGAGTATTTCGAACGGCCTACGAACCCGCACATCGTCCAGCTGGCGCTCAGTGCTGGTGAGCTCGGCGAGGACAATGCGGACGGGGGAGAGGATGATCTTGACGACGACTCGGAGCCGCAAGAAGACCTGAAAGAGATCGTGAGGCTTCTTGGCCGGTCCGAACTTGCGGATGATGTCACTGGCATTTCAAGCTCGACGTCGAAAAAACGCGCACCCCCGCCGTCGCCGTTGAATCTATCGACCCCTAGCACACCGAATGAGATGCATGAACCTGCGGAGAAGGAGCCGGTGATGCTGCCGTACCTTGACGAGGCGCCGGAGGATCAGTCCGATGCGGATATGCCTCGCAAGAGCTTGTATGATCCGGACAAGCGCGGTGGGGGATTCTATGATGACATGGATTTCGGATTCGATACTTCTGATGTCGAGGTGGGTCCAAGCTGCTCTCGAGAGCTCAGTTTGGGACTCATTTCATTCTACAGTTCGACGACCCCAATGACCGGCGCAAGAGCCAAGTCATTCTCCATGCTCAGCTTGACGAGATAGAGCGGGTGCGTTCCTTCGCTATTGATAGAGCACTTTTGCTGAGATCTTCAAGAACTTGGCCCAATTCTCACCGCGAAAACTCAAGTCAGAGCTGGAGGATGAACAGTCGTTATCTCTGGCGCGAATTGCCAGCCAGCCTACCCTATCTCCACAATTGAACAACTCTGATGTGCTTCCACCCACTCCCCGACTTGCGAGCTACTCGGACATCCATCCTGCTGATGAGGACTCGTCTGACACGTGAGTGGGCATTCTTTATCTACTTTGACTAGTGTCTCAGTTCTGTTCAAGTGAGGACCTGACACGACAAGCTTGGCCTGCTGTTCCGTTCAATGCGCTTCCAGACCGTGCACCATCACAAGCAAGTACGGCGCCGCGACTAGCGCTGAACGGGGTCAGCACTTCTATGCCGAGTCGGTTCCGCGCCAACAGCCGTGCTGGGCCGAGCCCCAGTCCGTCCGAGTCCGACATGCGAAAGCAAGAGCACGCTGAGGCGTATCCAGCGTTCACTCCTGCGATCGAAGCCAAGACCTCGCTGAACTCGCCGTTGCTTCCTCTGTCGCCTGACCCGTTTGGGCGACACCCTTCCTCGAATGATACCAGACGCATGTCGCAGTCGTATTGGGACGCCCCGGCGGTCGTCCCGCTCGGAGTCCTACTCCGGGTGCTGCGCCGCAGCCGGCCGAAGCGCCGAAGGTTGAGCGCAAGCGATCGACATCTACGACTTCAGGATCATTGAGCCGGTTTTCGACGGAGTCCTTGAGAGGGCTAGCTGAGAGGCAGAGCAACCGGGGAACGATCATGAGCGTGAAAGGGATCAAGAGCCTCTGGAGGAAGAGTCACAAGAATTCGCCGTCTGTGTCAGTCATCTCACCTGTCTTGGAGAACGCATTCTCGCCATTATCACCACCCCTTCCGCCACAGAGGCCGAACCGACCGTCGATGGAGGAAATGCAGTTTCCCGATGTGGAGGTTGAGGTCCCGATACCCAAGACGCCCATCATGGGCTCTTTCCCTTCAAGTCCGCCGCCGGTGCCGCCGTCACCGCGGCTGTCACCGCGACCACCACCGCAAGAGATGCCGATGCCGCCAACTCAGTTCCGTCCGGGCCAGTACATGGTCCCTCCACCCATGCTGCAATCGACGAATCGTGCGCCGATCATTGCAGCCAAGGCCGGGCCGATGTCCCGGAAGACATCGAGCGACAACCTGGAATGGGACCAGGAGTCGCCATATCCCACCCGCAAGGCATCGCTCACTTCCTCCGTAGCGACCAGCAGCCGGTCCCACACTCAGACACCGCCACCGAGCTCGAGTCCACCGAACCCAACACCTGCGCCGCTTCCGTCTGAACGCGACAGGAATGCGACCCGCAAGTCGATCCTCAAGTGGAAGGCAGCGGCGAACGTGACCGGTGGGGTGCCCGCGCCGCTGACGCCCTCGGCGACAAGTTTCAACCGGACGCGGATGGGGAGCGTCACGGGGTCGCCGCCCCCGTCGTCCCACGGGTCACTCAACGGGGGTTTGATATCCCGCCGAGCCCGAAGATCCCGGACCAGTTTGTGCCGCCGGCTACCCAGCAGCAGCAATCGCCGCCGCGAACCCGGCCTAATTCGGCGGCGATCGCGCGTCGGCGGGTGAGTGCCAAGATGCAGAGCGTGTCGACGACCGAGACGTCGTCGTCTTGGCGGCACAGGACGCAGGAGAGCATGACGTTCTCGTCGTCGGACGACACGCATGAAAGCGCGACGATCTTGGACACGTCTGCGTTCGAGATCGTGTCGCCGAAGATGGGCGCGACGCTCAGCTTTCCTTACGCGAACGTTGATTCTGGGGCAGTCTAGCCGTATTTATTTACTTGCCTTGTATACCGTTCTCTGCTGTATCTTCACACTCAGTAATTTTAATGACACAGTAGCATTGGATCTCAGCGTCAGTCTGCGGCTTTCGGCATGCGTGAACATCAAGTATATAATTCCGTTCAGAGGTACCCATGTGCTGTCTAATAAAGGGCTTGAAAACACTCGGAATCACGCAATGCAAAGATCACAGCAGATAATCGTCATCTACCATATCATCATCCCAAACCATCGCACTGAATCTCCCATGGCAATCGCGAACACTGCACGGAAATTTAACACCCTGCGTTCTCCTCGAAGGTCAGGACTGCGCTTGGATATAGTGGGAGCACGGATTGCTTAATTTGCCGCTGCTGAGATCCAGGCAGATGAGCTGCCAGTGAAAGTCGCTTGAGCCATGGGTTCATGAGAATCCAACTCAACATCGTTTCGGCGAAACAACAACTTGCTTATAACAGCATCTGTCGCCGTGCCCGGCCACGAAATTTCCATGTCAGAGAGTTGTTATGAATGCCTGAAGACTGTACCTAGGCACTCGTGCTCTACCTCGTGTGGCGGCTTGACCCCACTTAACAAGCTGGAACGTTCTGAAGCTTGAGGTGGGAACCTAATACTAGATCGACGCCACACCGCGAGGCACGTGAGAAACGCGTGAGTCTGCCTCAAGCTTCCGAATCGAAGTGGCAGCAGTGCGCAAAAGAACGGCGGATGGAACTCTCCTGGCATCCGCTGCAATGTCCTAGTTCATCGGAGAGATCTGGTTGTAAAAAAAAACAGACATTTTCAGACAGAACGCTGAGGTATCGATCATACATGCGCGAGTCTACATCTAGTAGTACATGCCGGGTGGTACATTTGTGTGGCAATGGATCATTCGTCAAGAATCGTGAAAGGGACCGAGCAGAGGACACAGCTCATCGACCAATCCCTCATCGACAGCACAGCCGTCGAGAAGATGAGAAGAATGAGTTAGTCCGGTGCCGGCCAAGTCGTAGCCTCCTTTCCCTGACTGGAGGGAAAAGCGAGCGTAAGGGTTGTCGTGATCTCATCGGCAGCCGTCGAAGAGCTTATCCAGCGACCACGTGGTATGTACACAGTCCCGCTGTATGTTGTGTGCGATCGAGACCGAGCACAGGAGACATTCTTCGGGTGCATGGATTCCTGCTGTATCCGATCGCAGCACAGGCCAGCCGTTTCGTGGCGCAACCAAGAAAGCGCAATCCAATCCCATCACCAACACAAAATGGCAGGAGCGAGCCAAACGCGAGCGAAGCCTCACAGAGGCTGGCAGACACCTGGCAGCATCGATGTCTCGATCCTCGATCAACGAGATCAGACACGAGGCAGCGTGCGACGATGCATCGGATTTCGCACGGGCCACGCGGCAAGCGCATAGCACGATCGGATGGCTGGCGTCGACTTCTTTGTTGGGCGTGATTCCGGGGCTCGTGACACGGTCTTGGATGATAAGGAATTGAAATGCGGTGTGTGATGATGATAAATGTGCAGCGTGGGATATGGTGGTGCAAGAGAAATGTCTGAGACGTAGCAAGCAAAAAAGACACGGACGGAAATGGAGCGGACGCGGGACAAACAGAGCCAGAGCTCCTTCAGAACCCTCCATCAGACGGGGATGGAGTGGTGGTCTGGTGAGCCTCTTCGGAGGGATCAACTACTCCGGATGCATCGGCAAAGCTCGCGGCGGAATGAGTTCGTGCGTTCGGTGCCTCGGGAGGGGGAGACAACGGACGTCCGTCGTACATTCCCGGCGAGGCCGGCTCGAGTGACGTCCCAGCACCAGCGAGCTTCTCGTTCAATGTCTGCAGACGATGGATCTCCTGCTCGAGGGACGCGACACGATCCTGAAGGGCCTGATTCTCCCCTTCAAGCAAGCTGATGTGCGATGTCGCTAGTCGGACGATTAGTTCGAGGCAACCGAGATACAATCCGCGACGAGAACGTACCTCGATCTAGAAGAGACACTTTGCTGCTCTTCTGATTGGACAAGGGAAGAACGTCCTTCAGTTTAGCATAGCCATCGCGCAGCTCGTCGCGCCGGCGCTGTTCGGCTTCGATGCGCTGGCGACGCGTCGCCTCCTTCCGATTATGAGCCAGATTTTCCGTGGAATACACGAGCGCCAGCTCGTCGTCGTCAGAGTCTTGGGAACGTCCGCGGCGGCGGCGACCAACTGAGCTGGTGGGTGATGGCGTAGGATCGTAACGGACGTGACGGTGGACGAGGCTGTTGGCGCGGCTCGACGATGGGGAGTTAGCGCCGCTCGAATTCGATCCGTGATAGAGCCCGTCGGATGTATCTGAGCCAGAGAGTGGAGGGGACAGGGGATCGTACATGTCAGGTGAAGGAGGAGGAGGTGAAGCCGGGATACTTAGGCCACCATGAGGAGGGCTTGGAGAAGGAGGATATCCTGAGCCTGGGACCTGATATTGATGGTGATGCGCAATGAGGCCGTGGTACTGCGTCTGTATAGGATGGGGCGATTGCAAGTCCAGTTGCCCTCCTAGGGACGAAGAACAAAGACCGCGGTTAGTTATCCGATGAACACGAGGCAACAACGTTACACGCACGCGACTGAGAACCGTGCGGTACGGCTACTGGATACTGACCCATTTGTACAGACTGGTAGCCCATATAACCCTCTGGCTCAGCCTGCGGATAAAACCCATAATTGCCTTCGTGTTCCATGATTCAAGTGAATTTGCCGTAGAGGGGGATGGTGATAGGAATGCTGGGGGAAAGAAGCGTGTGGGGCGTAGCGGTCGTCGAGAGTTCGTGAAGGAAGAGGTAGAAAACAAGAAACAATGACTGCCTAGTACTTCGTCCGGCTACCGTCCGTGTCCGCTCTGGCGGCTGTTCTCCGAGACAAGTGTGCCTTGTTTGTACACCACTACAATTACACCGTCCACAAATTATGTATTCTTCCTTGTCCTTCCGTCATTTCTCATTATCCTCCGAGGCCGTTAAACGCTTCCATTGTCTGTTTGCTATCGTCTAGACCTTTGATTACCCCGAACACCAAATACAATCGCCCATCTGTCATCCATATCGCTCTTTGTGGCCTCATGGGCGCCTTTCTTCAACATACCAGGTAAAGACACAAAGTTTATTCTTTTTTCGCAACTTCCTTACCCCGCAGCGACCCTGTGAGATCACTGAACACCCAAACGCGACTTTAAGATTCCACGGGATCTTGGGATCTTTGATGGATCCCCCTCCCGTTATCGATATACCCGTCGATCAGCGATTCGAGATTCGGGACGGGAACGCGCTGTGCATGGAAGACCTGACTATCACTGCATGAGTGCGGCCAATATACATTCGGAAATATAGCTTGAGTCCTCATTTTCCGGCACGATTGGCTTCCTGAAATCTGGAAGTAGTCACCCAGATTCTCAATCCGGAACTAGATCGATGAAGTGTGACCGGGATTAAATTTTCACTGTCACAAGTCACCCTCTTGTCCTTCGTCCACCATGTCGAATGCAATATTCGCCTTGTTCTCGAAATAGGTATGTCTTGTTCTCCTCTGGTCCAACCTACCGCCCTGCTCTCCTTCCATATTCCACATGACGATATCATCCGATTTTAGGAAGTGCCGTCTGAAAGCCTCCGGACCTCGGTCTGTCGAGCTGCTTATGACGCTTTCGGTTCTCTGATACAAACCCGCTCTTTCCCCTTGCCCTGCTTCGCGTCTATTGTCTAGTCACCGTGCTAACCCGCGTCTTTCTCAGGCGTCGAGAATGGATGCCGTGCATCCGTTGGGTACGGGAAGAATGAAGCTGCGGATGCAGTTGTCTACTCGTGGGTTCTCGCCGTGGTTCTCTTGTTCTTCTCGCTCGTACCACTTTCCTTGTATTATGCAAGAAATGCAACCTGATTTCCCGTCTTATTGTTCTGTCTGTCCCGTGAGCTACGTTGCGTAGTTCGCGACTTCCCAGGCGCCATCATTAGGTACTGCACTGACATATGCTTACTCCTATCTCCGCCGCTGTGTCCGGCCCTAACCCACGGATGCTGATTACTGACGAGAATAAGATTCGGTCCGCATAGTATACACATCTGATATTTACGACAACGTTTAGAATCCGAAGAGTCTGAAAACAAGATACAAGAACGATCCAGTGAAGCGCACCGCCGATAGACCAGCTCTGCGAACGATTGATGAGCAGAGCACGAAGCACAGGGCTGAGTACTCACAGGGCGAAGAACAAAAACTGGAGGTATGGGTTGAATTGAGAGTTTCCGGTAGTCGTCACATGCTTGGCAACGAAGTTGGTGAAGGCTGCGGACGTGAACACGACAATCATAAGCATGTTCGTCCCGACCCAGGCGAGGACGACATTGGTCCGGCTGTTCCGGTCGTGGTCCGTCTGCTTTGTGGCAGCATCGCGGTGCTCCTTGACTTGGGGAGGCGGAACTCTCAACGCGCTGCGCGAGGCATTCCAGAGCTGGTCAACATCTTCCCGCTGAGTGAGCAACTCGACCTCCATCATCTCCTTCCCGTCGGCGTCCTTCACTTTGTTGGCCCCGCCGAGATCCTTTTGGGCGCCATTGTCTCCCTTCGTACCCCATGTGACATCGTGCAGATTGCACATCGCGTACATCACTGCAGTAAAAGTCAGCATTGACCAACCAAAAAATTGACTGCGCACTAAGAATGTTGACATCTGCAAGTTCGAGTCAGCGAGATCCCAATGAGGAGAATGACGAGACTGACAAGAAGGGAGGAAGAACATATACTGGATGAAGCTGGTGAACATGTGCCAAGGCTCCAGATGCATGAAGGAGCCGATGAAGTACAGCCCGTAAGTAGCCATCAACGAGATGACGATGTCCCGGAACGTAGTGTTGGTGGACAAAAGGGTTCCAAAGTGCTTCCACTCGGTGAGTGTGACCTTTGAGACGGAAAGGTACACTGTGTATGCCGCACACCATAGTGTGATGACATTGCACAACCCAAAGAGAATGATGGCAGCGATGTATGTGAATTTGGATCCTTGTGGCCGGTTGCCCAAGGAGCAGACCACGATGACGAACAGTAGAGCGATGTAAAGCTTCAAGAACACCTCGAACACATCTTTGCCAGCGCCAACGCTCAGGAAGTTGAACGCATCGGTGTTGGCATTCGCAGTCGCTGAGCTCACGAGGAAGAAGAATGCGAGGTAGAAGTTGGCGAGCGAGGTCCAGGTGAAGAGCAGCTGCACCGCATTGTATATGAACTCGAGTTGCAGCACGATTTTCCGGAAAAAGTTCTGGCCAGATGTCCAGATGCGGAACCAGAACACAGTGGCGTGAATAGAGGCGAAGAGCGAACCATTGAGCCAACGACGTCGCTGAGAGATGAATTCGTCAACGGATGTTGGCACATCCGTTGCTGCTTTGGCGCTCTTGACGTATTTGAGGCTGTAAAAGGTTATCGGGAAGCTTGGATGGATAAATCAGAACACGAACATCCATCCCTCGCGTTTCTTGGTGACAATTTCAAAACACAGGATACGATCCTCAGCAAGATACATGTTACGCTGAAGAGATCGGTCAGCTGGGAAGATAACCATGATGTCTGTTTCACCTCTACAAAAAAGTCAGAGAGAGCTGATTACAGAAACCTCAAGGCGTGACATACCAAAAAGTCCAGCACCATTGACTCCCCCACCGTGCATGGTTTCACCCTTGAAATACGAGGCGAGAGGTCCTTTTCCATCGGGCCCGTTCTGGAGAGCACGATATCGGTAAGCACTGAAGGCACCGGGAAGAACACTGATATATCTGGAAGGTCCTCAGAAAGGTTGCGCCTCGAGTCGATATATATAACTGACCCGAATACACTCTCTAGAGGCTTGTCGAGGATATTCGACATCTTGTATTCAAAGTTCTGCGAGGCAGCGAGAGGGGAAGTCAAGAGCAGAGAGCAGCCGCGACCTACGTAACGTCAGTCGAGAGCGAGAAGAGTGGATGTTTGAAAGCACCTGTGTCAACGCAGATCTCCCCGCAGGCACCACCAACATTGGAATGCTTATCGAAGCACTAATTAAAACTCAGAAAAAAGCTCAGCCGTTCGAGATACTGGACAAGACCTTCCACAGCTCGTAAATCGACGTTCCCGTGGGTTTGGTTCCGACATCGAGCAGAATGCAAACATTCTTATGCAGGAACATCAATTGAAGTGTTGGGAGATCAGAGTAAGTCATGAACGCACCGGTTTGATGAGAGGACCAAAGGCGTTGAAGAACCAACGGTGACTGTTGAGTTTCTTCTTGTTCTGTTCTTTCAAGCAGAAGATGATCTGCACAGGACAGGTGCCTTGAGATACCTCTCCAGCAGCGGTCGCAATCACAGTGGAGGTGTACTAGCGGAAATGAGATGAGAAATTGAAATATGAAAAGAGGGTCACCTCGAAAATGTGTGCAGTAACGTCCTTCCCGCCAACAGTGTCCTTGGCGATTCCATCTTGGTAGACGCCCATCAGACTGAGAACTTGGAGGGTCCGCTTGTTGACCTATACGTCTTATCAGTGCTTGATTCAGTCCGACCAAGCCACGACATGCCTTGCTACGACCATCCGAGACAACACACACAACGACTTTCTTCCAGCCTTCGGGACCCCACATTTTGGAGCGGTCGCGACTGCAAAGATGCGCGATATTCTTGATGACCGCGTTCATCGTCTTTGTGAACAGGATCTCATCTTCGTTATACATGGTCATGACGATGAACAGCTCGGTCTGGCGCCCGTACAGGAAGGGCCGCAACGAGTACTTCGAACGTGCGAAGTCGTCAGGATCGCCTATCGATGCGACGTCAAAATAAGCGTGTTAATTATAGCATTCAAGCGCGTACAAGTTGCAGCAGTCTGTGACGTGTGAGTGAGCGGAGGGAGCAAAGCAACCGGACCCAACGTACATATCTCATCTTTGAGAATTCATCCTCATTCGCTCGACTGGAGGACACAATGTGCGTTGGCACAGGCATATCCAGGACGAGATTCCCCTGAACAAGTTCGACCTTGCGGACGGACCGCCGTTTCATCATCTTCTCTTGAACCACGCTGTAGCCAGAGCCATTGCGCTGTGGCGGGTAGTTGGGACCGAATCCGTATGGCACGTTAGGCACGGGCGGAATGGTAGCCTGGCTGTCCCATCCAGACGGGTTCAAATGCGTTTGGGATCCCGCGTAGCTGTCCTGATACGATTTCCCATCCCAGGCCTGTTCGTGTCCAGTGGACTGGTTGTCATAATAGCCTTCGGACTTGTATCCCGACTGTGAGTGCTGGTATCCTTGGTCATATTGGGTCTCTTGACGCTGCGGCTGCTGGTACGGCTGCTGGTAATGCCCGGCCGGTTGCTGGTATTGCTGTTGAGGCGAATCGTAGTACTGATTCTGTTGGTGGGTATTCTGCGGCTGAGAGTAATAAGGACCGTCGTGTTGCCTGTAGGCCATGGGAAGGGAAGCGAGAGGAGTACTAGGATCAACCTAGCAGCTCAAGGTGGTGGAGGGAAAGAGAAGAAGAGCAAGGAAAATCCGTAACCAACGCTTCTGCTACATCAATCTGGGCATCAAAGATATTGTGCACAGCCCGCTCAGGCCCTCCGGCGAGTTGGCCCCGCCCAGACAATCCAGAGGGTGAGAAACCCGCGAACAAAATATATAACAAAGAGTATGTAGTGAGAACGGGCGGCGGACAGGTTTTATTGCGCAACATTGTGCCCGAGATTGCTTCCGTCCAGACTTGACATGCGCGATCTCAGCCCTGAATGCGTCCTATATTAGAATCCATGCTTCGCGATCGTGACTTGGCAAACATAAGGCAGAAAGGGAAGAGATGGACAAGGGCGCCCGCCAACAGTAGAGAACACAGTCCAGAAAGGCAATCATGTATACTTCAAGTAGACAAGACTGGGAACAGGGCTCATTAGAGCTTGGTGCCGATGTGCCGGGGCTAGCCCGGCTTTCCAGCGATTGATAAGAGACACAGTCAAGCTGTTGTTGGTAGAATGTCGGCAGCATGACTAAAGGCTACTAAAGTGAGAGGAATCTCAGAGCAGCCCGGATGAGACAGCAATAGAGTCACAGGACGTGGCCGGGACTCGGGTAGAAGACGTTTCTCCGCGTGTGTACAGATGGTTTAGCATCGGGCTGTGAGGGATTTACAGCCTTGTGAGAGTACAGCCTGAAAAGGGCCTGCCCTTCTTGCCCAGGGCAGTCCAGACGTCATTTCACTGGGATGCAAGCAGGCCGGTCCCGCTCCCTGAGATGACAAAGTAAAGAGCGGCTCCTGAGGCAGATTGGACGACGTTCGACATTCTCAATCTAGGTAATCGAACAGATTGCTAGGGCTATGTTTCGAATCCATCGATTACGGCGGTCGGGAGCAACTGTTGGCGCTTGTTCGGACTTTAATACAGTCGGAGTTTCAACCTGGCAGAGGCACAGCCCCCACACCCCTTGTTGTCTTCATCATCCTTCCCCTCCCGGGCCTTCTCTGTGTCTCTCATCTCTCAGTCTCCCTTCACGACTTTTCTCTGTCTCAGTGAGTTGTGTGCTCATTCGTGTTTCAATTCTTTTTGTACCGGTGTGGTCGATTCAAGTCGTTGACGTGGTGTGGCACTCTCCCATTTGTGGGCCCACATTCGAACCTGCGACATTCACGCCTCCTGATTCAGGGCTGATGTCCTACATACGACATGCGACGGCGAGGCTAGATGGAACGTTGTTTCAATGAGAGTTTCCCTGACTCGTGTGTTACACCTGCGTTCATTTTGCCTCGCTTCCCAGCCCTTTAAATTTCCATGCATCGATCGTCTTTCGTCCTTCTTGCTTTTTTCCCGCTCCCGAGCCTTGGAACCCTGTGCTCAACCACCCTTCCCAGTTTCATCTATCATCATCGCGAATGACGGAAAGCACGCACAGACTCGACCTCCGAGTGGGCGGAAAGTATAGGCTCGGTAAAAAGATCGGTTCTGGGTCTTTCGGTGCGCCGCATGGTACATCTGCTTCTACGTTCTGGCTTACGTTCTTCTAGGCGACATCTATCTCGGGATAAACATCATCTCCGGAGAGGAAGTAGCCATCAAGCTCGAGTCAGTCAAGGCCAAGCATCCCCAGCTCGAGTACGAGTCCAAAGTGTACAAGACCCTCGCAGGGGGTGTCGGTGTTCCATTCGTTCGATGGTTCGGTACGGAGTGCGACTACAATGCCATGGTTCTCGATCTGCTTGGCCCCTCTCTGGAGGACTTGTTCAACTTCTGTAACCGCAAGTTCAGCCTCAAGACGGTCTTGCTCCTTGCTGACCAATTGGTATGTCAGCTTATCTTTGACTCAGGGCCGGCATCTGACGCCGTCTGGCAGATTTCTCGAATCGAATACATCCACTCGCGCAACTTCATTCATCGCGACATCAAGCCCGACAATTTCCTGATGGGCATAGGAAAGCGAGGCAACCAGGTCAATGTGATTGACTTTGGTTTGGCCAAGAAATTCCGCGACCCAAAGACCCATCTCCATATCCCGTACAGAGAGAACAAGAATCTGACCGGCACAGCCCGTTACACGTCTATCAACACCCATCTTGGTGTCGAACAAGCCCGTCGGGACGATCTCGAGTCACTCGCATACGTCCTCATGTACTTCTTGCGCGGCGCACTCCCCTGGCAAGGACTTAAAGCGGCGACGAAGAAGCAGAAGTACGATCGCATCATGGAAAAGAAGATGACGACGCCCACCGACCTCCTCTGCCGTGGTTTCCCCAACGAGTTTGGAATTTTCCTGAACTACACCCGTGCTCTTCGCTTCGACGACAAGCCTGACTATTCTTACTTGCGCAAACTTTTCCGGGACCTCTTTGTTCGCGAAGGTTATCAGTACGACTACGTGTTCGACTGGAGTGTGCAACGTGGGGCGCAGGACGATGCTAGCGCGGGCACGAGCAAGGCTGCGCCTGGGGGCAGGCGCAAGGTTGTCCAGGAAGAGGAGGACCACCGTGCCAGCGACAGAATGTAAGGTTTACCGTTCCCTTTGTTCGATGAACAGGTGCTGATACTGGGTTCAGGCTGCGTTCGCACACGCGTCAGGCTCAGCAGTCGCCTGGTGCTGTTGGTCAGCAGCGGCCTGCACGTGGACGGGAATCGGATCTCTGGTAGATGAGCAGTTGGGCTTCTGTCTCTGGAGTGTTGCGGGTACGTCCCAGGAGAGGCTGAGCAAGGGGGAGGATGGCAGGTGAAAGCGGTGTGCTCAGTCAGTTTATGGAAGGGGGTCACCACGGTTGTGTGGATTCGAAGAACGCAAGGAACCAGCGCGCGCGGTTCACATTAGAGAAACGCGGCGTCGACAATGCCCGGTCCCGATCGCCTTCTTTCTCGGTTTCTACTTATTGCGTCGAGCGGCACGTCGAGCACTTCTTTTTGCGCGCGCGACGCGACAGACAGCACCGTCATCGACCCCCCAGGTGCTACATATCTTTAATCCACGGACGCTATTTCTTTTCACGCCAGGTGTCCTTTGCGGCACGCTCGGCCGCCCTTACTTCCTGATCGCCTCTCACACATGCCCCATTATCATATTGTGCGCCCGTGTCTGTTTGTTCAACCACTAATTTCCTTCCACTTGCTACTACCATCCCCAATCATCCCATTACCAGCGCACTGTTGCTTTCCTGTACATATCGATCCATACGTCCACGATTATCCCAACACACTCTTTCCCTGGTCCTTTTTTCCCTTCCCCGTCACGATTTGGCTTGTCATGTTTTCCCCCCTGGCTCCTGCATTTGTTGTCCTCCATTCTAGGAGAGGGCGTCCCGGAGAGGTGTTGGTTGGTGGTGAAGAAGGTTGAATGGCTGTTTGTTGCTAGCATATAGTCGTATACAGATGAAATTCTATACATGTTATAGCCCGAAGCAGTCTACTCGGAATTACTCCAGTCGAGCAGTCGTGTTACACCGCCATGCCAGTCTCGCACTCGTTTAGCAGCGATCCAGCTCATTGTGCTGCCTTCTGTGCCTACGTGTCCGATCCCTGCAGACAGAACGACAGAGTCGATCAGGATCGGATACCAGACCCCCAATCGCTCGCGCGTCTCGAGTCCCACGTGGTCGATGTAGTGCCAGCCACGGGCGGAGACCAGCTTCCACCACTCGGGGTCGTCTTCGTCACTTGTGATAATCACGTGGCGGACGTGGATGCCTCGCTCGGCCAGTTCTGCCTGAACCTCCTCGACTTGCGCCGCATAGCCGTCGAGTGTCGGAAGGCACAGACCCTGCGAGATTTTGCCTCCGGAACAGTATGCTTTGAAGTCGTCCCGGCGCGCGTGGATGCTGATGTACTGTCACCCGAGCCAGATTGAGTTGCCACTCACTTAGTGTTCACAGACAGGGGGAAAACGCACGGGTGGGATCAAATCGACGCCGCCGAGCGCGATCCGAGTGTATTCTTCGGCGAGTTGTTCTAGACGTGGCGTCCAGCGCATGTATCTTCCGACGAATCGCCATGCGGGGCTGGACAACGTTGATTTGCTTAGTATACGCGAGATCCTAGCTTGGAGGAGGCAAGGTTTGTCTCACCTAAAATCGAACTGGAATTCCAGGCCCTGCCGGATCGTGAGTGACTTGGTCTGGAAGACTAGAAGCCGGTGGTTCAACGGACCTCGAGGGCGACGGCATAGTAAACGAAATCGTAGCACAGCAGATGCTCATCGGGTGGGAGCGAAACATGCTTGATGGGTGAAGGCTCCGGGGGCACCAGACTTGCCTTACGTTTGTCTGGGAAACTCAGCGCGGCCAGAGACCAGAACGACGACCAGGGCTCAGTCGGGATGTATGGCTTCAGACTGATCCACGGAGGTGTCTTAGTGTACGAGATGTCTGTGGCGTGATCGGTCAGCATGCGGTGAAAAATGACAGACCGTGTATGGGGGCACGCCGCACCGAGATTTAGGAGATCGGATATCCAGGTTTCTCGAGGCGCAGGATCATGCGTCTCCTGCTGCTTGAAGTTCATCGTGGCCCAGACGTTCCAGCACCCGAGCTCGTCAATGGTCTCGCTCTCAGCATCCTTCACCTCGCGCCATTCCAGCACCGGCCTGCCCAAGAGCTTGCGAAATCGAGGCAGGTCGAAGACCTCACTGAAAGGTATGGTGATGATGCCCCGGATGTGCGTCGACAAGAACTCGGGGAGGATGGGCACCCGGTCCGTCAAAATCCCGAGATACACTAGATTGGACTGGGGTGTCGTACTGTGAGTGGGATCATCAACACACTGAGACAGAGAGAGCGCACAAAAGTGATGACATCGTTAGCTAGATCGATCGTGAGCACAATAGAATTGCAGAGGTGATGAGGATGGACGCACTCCAGCCTGCTGATGCGCCCCATGATGAAATGTACCTTGTCTCATTGAGCAGGTTATCTGTAACGAGAGGGTTCAGAAAAGCGAGCAGACAGGCTATTGGCGGTGCGCGCCTCGAAAAGAGTGTGTGGGCGGTCCCCGTACAGGAGCGAAGGCGTCATGGGCGGCACCCGAGCCATCGTGGCCGTGACCACCAGAATTTTGAGATCCAGGAACATCCCCCGTCCGCTGAGAGTCGTGCTGAGGCACCGCGGAATCAACCTGTGCGCCACTATCCAATTCCACCTCGTGTCCATTCTGGAAGTAGTGTGACGGCCATAACTGAAACAACGTCGAGAAAAACAGGAGAGCGAGAACGACGCTGAGTATCCGGCCTCTGAGACTGAGCACAGATATCATCCTGGTCCAGTGAGCGGAGAGGAAGGTCATGGCGTGCAGAGAGGATGCCGCCTCAGGGGTTCAGTCATTCATCTCTTAGCCGATCCGCATATCGTACTTAATGGGCCCTGGCTGCCAAGCATTTTAGCGATGTCCATTTCTCCTCGGTGAAAAGGATGAATGAAGATAGATGAGGAGCACGTGAGCTTGGAGGCTCTCTTGCACGGAGACGACTCGTTTTTGAGGATGCTATTCACGATCCGTAAACATTTAGGAGGGCAGCCAAGTATCCTGATGCCTAATCCGGCATCAAGATGGAAGGGGAAAGCCTAAGAAGGGTCGAGAGTCTTTGAGGGTTCATTCATCTACTGAAGAGCAGGAGTAGGCTACAAGGAGAGTACGGACCAGAAATAGCTCTGGTAAGTCACGTGGGGCGCGTCGGTGAGTCAGCATTACTCACGCTAATAATACTCGATTGCCCACTGACATATGCGACGCGCGTCTCCTTCTGGTTTTCTACTTCTTCTCTCATGGCGGATACATATGTGCAATCTTTCTCTCACCTCAAAGGTCGGCCAAAAGAGCAGCAAGCTCTTGAAATGCTCAAGAAGATCGCGTCTCTGGTCAAGCCTATTATGCGCAAGCACAATTGGGTCCTTCCTGTGCTGTGCGAGTTCTTCCCAGCACAATCCAATTTGCTCGGTGTGTTGTGTTGCCTCAGGGATCTCTCCTGGCTCATCCAGGTGCAGGCTTAAGTAGGTCGTCTCGCGACTCCTCTGACCCGTTCGTTCTGTGATGGAGCGGGAACCACAGATGTGAATATGGGACAGAAGATCCTCGTACGTCTACGACCAGCGCATTCCCCGACACGTTTATGGAGCTTGAAGAGGTAGTCGGGACCATGCTGCACGAGGTAGGTGCATCGATTGGACTTCCGGCGTTCAGACACCCCGGGACCGACCAGATGACCAGCTAACACACAACGTGCACGGCCCCCACGACGACAAGTTCTACAAATTCCTCTCCGGCCTTCAGGACGAGTACGACGCGTTGCAGCGGTCAGGGTACGCCGGAGAGGGCTTCTACAGCAAGGGGAACAGGCTCGGGGCGAACGTGTCGCACGACTTGCCTCCCCACCTTGCCCGCACCAAGGCTCTGGAAGCCGCCGAGAAAAGACGCAAGGTCACTGCCGTCTTGGGTAGTGGAGGGAGACTGGGCGGTGGTGGATCGAACTCCAGATTGTCTCCCCGAGAGCAGGCAGCGCGCGTGAGTGCCCTAGCGCCGTAATCATTCCACACTGATTCCCAACGACGGACTGTTGATCAGGCCGCGGAACGTCGGGCTCGGGACGAGAAAGCCTGTGGCGTCGGTGAATTAGCGCTGCAAGAGGCCGACAAAGCGGCAAAGGAGAGTGTCGTGCACGAGGTGATCGATCTGACCGGGGACTCGGACGACGTTCAGATCGTGGAGAAGCCACGCAGCGCTATGTCGGGGAAATCAGCGGCTGCTCGGCCGCGCCCGAGGATTCCTATCCAACCTGTTCCTCCACAAGAATGGACATGCTTGGTCTGCACGCTGATCAACGCAGCGGCGAGCACGCGCTGCGAGGTCTGTGCGACGCAGCGACCACAAGACAAGTCGACCGTGTGGTCTTGTTTGACGTGCGGCGCGACTGATATGCCCCACGAGTTTTGGTCTTGCAGACTGTGTGGTTCCATCAAAACAACCTCTTGATCTCTTCGCTTCCCCGATCCTTGTAGCCCTAGCATCATCTTGTACTCTCATATATTCTAAATAGATTTACGCCATTATTTGCATCGCTTCCCTCGCTGTCCACCAGCACTGGCAAAGCGTCGTCCACCGCCAGCTTTTCCATCTCCAGGCCATTGCCTGTGGAAGCAGTCCAAGAAGAAAGCAGTAGAGTGTGTGCGCGCGAAGCATACCTCCGACCGACTGCACAAACCGATCCATCGTATCCGGATTCCTGATTGTCAGGGCAATCAAAGCCGTCTTGGGCCGACCAGTTGAAAGCGCCAGTCGGAGGATAGCGACGAGCGCTGGGATCAGGGCTGGATCGAAAACGATGTCTGCTCCCAATACGATGTCGGCATCAACCTCGTTTACTAACATCGATCGGACCGTGTCGATTTCCGCAGGGTCAAGAGCGGCCGACCAATCCAGGAAACGACACTGGATGCTTGGATGCGACGCAGACCGATCTGGAAGCCAAATTCAGTGAATAATGCATCGAAGCAGAACCTTGAAATTAAGAGTACGCACTGCATTCCAGCTGTACATTGGTTTGACACCGGAGGAGAACAGACTCGTTCACATCCGACAGCCATATCGAATTGGGTGCGTCCTCCAGGATTTGAATCGAGCCGACGACACTCCCGAGGAAGCCTATCCCAGCTCCGAGCTCGAGCACCCGTTTGCCGCAGACAATATCTGATCATCGTAAGTCGTCCATCTTCCAGGGACCAGACCGCTACCCATTCCTACCGGGATGAGCAACGAGATGCTGCGCTAGCACAAAGCTAGCTAGCCACGTGCGAAGCCCCGTCGTCCCACTCTCGATCAGGGTCCTCGACTCGCGCAGTGTCGTCGTTTCGTACGAGTCCTCGTCGCCAGGTGGCTGCCAGATATACGTGATGTAGGATTCAGCAGGCGGCCCTGAGACAAGATCGGACGCGTTCAGGAGGCCGAGATAGTGCGAGTATATGCGCGAGTCGATCTCTAGGTCCAGTCCCTCCTGGCGACGAGTGGGCCACAGATGCTAAGTTTCGGAGGCGTGGAGCAGCACTTACGTCGTCGTCTTCCGAGGCCAGTTTTCGTTCCAGCAGAGGTATCACCCATTTCCAAAACGTTTTCTGGTATTGAAGAGACGGGGGATATGTCTGCAGGTGCTCAGATGTCAGCAGCGAGAGAAGAAACTCGTGGATGGCAGCAGTGCCGAGATGCGAGGGGAATGCGAGTTGGGTGGGTGATCTGAGGGAAGAGTAGCCTCTAAAAAGCTGGAACAGATCAGGGTGTATAGCTTTCGACCCGAGGCGCATGAGGATCTTGACTGTAGTGATAAATGGAGTAAAAGGAAACGCGGTCAGGTGATCGCATCATGTATAAGCTGCAGGGCGGTGTCCTCAACACCTTTCAGACTCACAGATCGCGCTCCCAGTGCTCCTCATTGAGAAATATTCGCTATTCTGATTACATGTACCAGATACGCTCATCTAAGTTCCAGCGGCGGAATCCAATCAGGGATCTTCCCCCATTCGAATTTGGCCGCTCTAAACGCAGCTGAAACATGGTCCGGGAGCATGGAAAGGTAGTTTGGAGGGAGCTGCGAGTCGTATGGGGTGAAGCCAGGCTTGAATGTAACCTTGACTTTATCGAAGTCGGGAGGCGGTGGAGCACTAGAAGATGGCTGAACTGGCTGCCCAAACGGCGACTGAGTTGGAAACGCTGAGACAGGAAACGCTGAGACAGGCTGTGACGGAGCCGGGGCAGGGAACGCAGACTGCGTTGACGGTGGTGGGAAAGCTGATTGAGCCGGCTGTGGCGTGAACGCCGACTGAGTCGGTTGTGGTCCAAATGCAGAGACCGGCTGTGGTTGAGCCGGAGCGAAAGCAGTGGGTGTTTGGCTTGGAAAGGCGGACGAGGGATTGGATTTTGGCGCGAATGCATTAGAGCTCGCACTGTTTGCGAACGCGTTATTCGCAGGCTGGCTAAACGCCGATCCGTTATTTGTGTTCAGTGCGGAGGCTCCAAACGCAGATGGCTGACCAAACACCGATGGGTTGGCTGGTGCCCCGAATGGTGACGGATTGGCGGGGGCAGGCGCGGTAGAAGCAAAAGAGGATACCGGCTGGGTCCCTGTAGTCCCGAATGCCGAGCTGGTGGGTGCTGGGAAAGCGGACGTTGACGCAGGTGCATTGGCTGTCCCACCAAAAGCGGATGGTGTCGAGGAGGGAGGAAAGGCGGACGTCGTCGCCCCAAACGCCGAACCAGAAATTGGTGCGCCAAACGCAGATGTGGAAGCAGGCGCGCCGAATGGGGACGCTGAGCCAGAACTGCCTCCAAAACCGGTCTGTCCAAAAACGCTAGGTTTTCCAGCGAAGGCAGAAAAGCCGCCTGCGGTGTTGGTCGACGCAGTGGCACCGGCGCCGAAAGCAGAGGGGCCAGCATTCCCCGCAAACGCTGAGAAGCCAACAGCAGGTTTCACGACCGAGGAGCTTTGGCCGAAATTTGACGTTTGTCCGAAAGCAGAGGTGGTACCCAACGACGCCTGGCCAAATGCAGGGGTCGCGCTCGACCCCATGCTCGTTTGCCCAAACGCAGGTTGTCCGAAAGTCGATTGCCCGAACGTCGATGTCGTGTTCGACGTGGTCGGGGGAAAGGCCGACACTGGGGCGCTCGAGGACCCAAATGCAGACGACGCAGGCGTTCCCGTGTTGAATGCGGAGGTGGTGTTGGTGGTAGAAGTCGCGCCTCGGCTGTTATTCGTCGCCTGTTGGAAGGCCTGGCTGATATTGTTGACGGCATTCTGCGGAGCACGACATAAGAAAGGAGGAAGATGAATCACAGCGAAAGAGGATGGTACCGAGAATACTTGTTCTGCCGCCGCAAACTTTGATGACTCGTAAGAAATCTGTATGTGGGCTCGGATTTCGTCCTCCAGCAGCGGCAGGGCCTATCGCAACGCACATATTCGTTCACATTTCCCGCCTTCATGGCTGTCGCTGCCTTCGCTCTCAACTCCTCCTGCGATTCGTCTAATCCGGCCAACAACACCGGCTCAAACTTGGCTGGGCCATAGGACGACAACGGCCACAGCGGTCGGTCATTGCCCGGTGTCAGATCAGCTGCTATGCTCTCCGAACTGCGGGTGTTCAGCCTCACGACACGATGCACGCGTCAGGACGCACGTAAACAGCGCGGTTTTCGGTGCTGGCCCGTCACGCGTGAAATTGTCTGGAGGACATGAAGCTCAATGCGACACGTTTGGGAAGCGCGTGCTCACTTGATTGCGGATGCTCGTTTTTACACGCAGCGCCGAATCTACACGTGCCGCGAAGAAAGAATTGGCAGACGGCCTGTACAGCGACGAAATGAAGTAGACCTCGATGGACTTGAAGGATATAGTGCACACCATGAGTCACGTCGAGTATGATCTTGCCGTTGATTTGAAGAACACAAGGGAAACCTTGTGCGTGCTGAACGAGTTACGGAGGAAGTGAGAGGAGTCACTGTCAAGTCCAAATGAGGTCCTGTCAAGAACGCCATCACATGCCATCAAGGAGGCAATCATGTCCAGGTTGAGAGTGGACTCCACCCGCTTTGCGGCGAACTTTGCGCGACCTCTGAGTGCCCGGTTCCAGGCCCCGAGCACTGAATCCTTTGCAACCTTTCAATCACTCCAAACCTCCGAGACAACTGAAAAACTCCGATCTTTCCTCGTTTTACTACAGCAACCTGCTCCCGAACCGTCCACCGTTGACGCCGCGCTCGCCTATCTTGCTGAAACAGACAATGCCGTATCTCTGCTCTCCCAGGAATCCTCGGAACTCAGATCCGCTGTACTCAATCAGGCGACTGTGTGCGTCTACAGTCGCGCGCTGGAGACATACTTGAATGAGGCAGTCGCGTTCGAGGCCGAGGCCGAGTGGTGGGCTAACGTCGAACGCTCCAACGTCAACGTCGCCTGGTTTCTCCTTCAGAGTGCGTGTCTGTGTATCCATTCTCACTGCCGCTGACGGCAAATGATCAGCATTTCCCTCGCGATTTACTCGGGCGCTGAACACCATCCTTGCTGCCCTCCGAGAACACCATCTCCCTCTCAACCTCGCGTCTTTCTCGCCCTCGTCACTGATCCGCCTGTTTCCATCGACTGCACTCAGGCCTTCGGCATTGACGCGGGCTCTCTTTCCTCACCTTGAGGACGGAACAGCAATGACATCATCGATGTTACCACCTCGATCGCATATCCCGTCGCTCATCTGGTCCAGCATATGCCAGCCACTCAGCCTTGCCCGCGACGAGTGCCGCTACAAACGGCAGCGGCTCGAACAGCTGAGAGACAATAGGGCAGACAAACTGGGTGACTTGGCGGCCCTGCGTAGTTCAGCGTCCTCGCAGAACTCCTTCCTGCAGCACGGATTGGCTAGAATCGTGACCGATAGCGATTTTCGAGCAGAGAACGAGCAAAACGTTGTCCAAAAGTTGTCGAGCTCACTGCTCCCTGCCCATATCGCTGCGCATGCAGCTGAGCTCCTCCAGTTGAGCAGACCGTCGCGTTTCACGCTCATCTGGCCGAAGCTGCTTTTGTTGCCGCCTCTGAGCCTCTATGCCATCCGCTCGCTGTGGGTGTCTCGGGCATCTATGTGGGAAATGGCACTAGACGCGAAGGAAACCGCGCAAGGGTTCATCAAGAACTCGCTGGTCGAGCCGATCAAGGACATATTGACCACGGTCAGAACTGGAGGAGGTGATGGTGTGATTGTTAGGAAAGAAGGAGTCGTTGCAGACTTGGATGTAGGCTCACACTCGAACCTGGATGATGCAGCTTCTGACGGCAATCCCAGTCGCTGGAGCGCATGACCTTGTCGCTCGCCCAAGATCAGTTGCGCTACAATTCCACGCAGCTCGCTGAACTTTCCGCCAAGATCCGTGTCGGGGACCTCACCCCCGTCCTCCGGTTGTACGAGGAAGACATCAAATCGCCGGTCAAGTCAGCGCTGACCGGCACACTACTTCGCTCGATGTTCATTCAAGTTCAAAAAGCCAAGGTCGACATCGACCAGGCACTCGCTGGTATCGACAAACTGCTCAAGTCGCAAGAACTGACGTTTGCGTTCGTCGGCCTGGCGCCCGCCATGGTTATTACGATCGTCCTCGGACGGTCTCTGTCGTCGTTGCTCGGAAGCGGCCCCAGCGACGGCCGATACGGAGGCAAGCTCCAACGAGCAGCGGCCTGGGCGGCGTTGCGGTGAGCCCTTCGTTCTCCGTTCGTGTCTGTCGCTGAAGGGGGAAGTAGACGGATTGAATGCCTTCTCACGGCGAAGCATCGTGCGCGGCCCAACACGAGCAGCGGGATGATTCTCATCTCTGTGGCTCGCCTGCGAACTTTTGCCGAGTCGAGGCTGCCGAAGAGGTCCAGGCTACGAGAGGGCTTTTTGGAGGATGTGACCGATCTTGAGAGCACGACGATGGAGCGGGAGGATAAGCTTCGGGTGGTCGACAGGATGTGGAGAACCTGGGGGCCTGCTTTGGGATGGGACAAGGTTCCGAGCGAGGGTTCGTTTACGCTGTGAGAATTTTAGCGAGCTCATCATACTTGTCGAGCCTTTAGAGGCGCAGAACATGCAAGAAGCAGTGGATGACCAGGAGGGCTGAATATTAGAAACATCCTGGTTGTGCCTTGCCCACAAGCTCAAGATAATTGTTGAACAGAATCGGCTCCATATTGCCTCATGTATATAAAAACAGGTGCTCTAGTTGTACAATGGTACATGCGCCAATGCTCAGATGGAGTCGAACGCGGACCCGCCAGCCTTGGAATCTATGGTCATCACCTCCTCGAGGCCCATCACCTCGAAGAACTCGCGCGGGCCCATGCCCTGTGCGCAGGCAAAGTCGGTGCCGGTCTCCTTCAGCGACTTCATGGCAGCGCGAACGGCGTGCATCATCGGCACACATGAAGCCAGCGAGAAGACTGGGAGCGGGTCAGCGCGGATCCTTAACCCGGAGAGTTTCAACTGCTACGCACTGATGATCTTGGCACCGGTGGCCTCGGCTTCTTTGGATGTGAAGGAGGGGGTGAGGCCGCCAGAGATGACGTTGACCAGGACGGGTTTGGGTGCGAGCAGTCGGACGGTGCGTTCCAAGAGCTGCTTCGTCTTGACACCCTCGATGAAGCACACGTCGGCACCGGCGTCGGCAGCGAGCTTGAGCCGCTCGATCGCCTCGTCCATGCCCAAGACCTGCGCAGAATCTGTGCGGCCGATGATCACCTACGAGTGAGACAGAGAGGTCAGCCACACAGGCAGATAAATCACAAGCGCCCACGCACAAAGTCGGATCCGCCGGGGATCATGTCACGAGCGATCACAGCAGCGCGGATTCGGGTGACGAATTCCTCGCGAGAGACGACCTGCTTGCCGAGCAGATGCCCGCAGCGCTTCGTCTGGACCTGGTCCTCGATGTGCAGGCCGGCAACGCCCGCCCGGGCGTATTTTGTGACCGTCCGCGCCACGTTCGCGGGTCCACCGAAGCTGCGAGGAGTCATATCAGCAAGCGAGATCGGGTGCTGCATTTGGGTGAGACGAACCCAGTGTCGGCATCAGCGATGACTGGCGTTGTCGGCGACAGACTGCAGACCATCTCCGCGGCCTGGGAGATCGGATTAGCTTTGGGAAGAGAGCTGGTATCGATTTATCCGTACCCCAACAAAGTCGTTCAAGGTGGCAATAGCCAGATCCGGCTGGCCGAGTCTCTGGAGCCGTGTGAGAAGGCTGCAAATTGTCACACTCCTGGGAACTCACAGAAGCTGTCGTGGCTGCCCCACTGTGCATCGAAATTTAACATCGCGTTCCTCACGGTGCAGATCAGAACGAACCTCTGATACAGGCACTCGAAACCGGCCTCAACAGCAGCACGGGCACTGATTCCATCACAGATTCCGGGGGCAGTCTGTAAAACACAAGGCCTCAGATTCCGACGCGTCCTAGATTGAATAAGGCACGTACGACGATCCCGGGGCGGGCGAGCAGCTGCCTCAGCCGCGTCGCGGGGTTCTCCGAGAGCGGGCCCTCGAGGTAGTTGGCCGGGTCGAGCCGCGCGTTGTAGTACGGTGCGGCGCGGGCGGCAGCCTCGACCTTGGGGTCGCTCGGTGCCTCGACGACAGCAGGAACTTCAGAGAGCAAAGCGGGAGACATTGTGGCAGAAGAGGGTGGCTGGGTGGCTAGCTGGATGAGAGCGAGAGCGGGAGTGGGACTGCGAGGACGCGGGGAGCTCGGGTTGGGAGAAACCTCAGGACTAGACACGGCTTTTAAACTCTCGAAGACTGGAAGAAGCCCGGGAACACTCCGAGAGGCTATATTTGCGTCGGCGTTTGACGAGGCACCCAAGGACACCCTCCTGCCCTGTGCTGCTCTTGGCATTAAAATCAAGTGCCTCGATCAGTTCACATGCCAGGCAGTCGAAGGCTTGCCGTATTTCTTGAGACCGTCGGGCGCGCAAACGCGCGTCTAGAAATTACACATGGACCATACCACCGTTCAGTATCGCTCACGAGATGCGGTGATAGCCAAGTCGGTGCGGATGATGCCGACACCGGGATCCCTTCTCCAGGTGGAGTTAACACACGGTGAGCCAACAAAGCCGGGGCTTCATGGACCGCCTCAAGCTTGTGATCGGTGATTGGTGCCGGAACAGCGCAAGCTGCCCCACACTCGGAAGGACACAATGACTTGGCGCAGGATGCATACTCTGATCGCTCCAGGCTATCAACGAGAGAAGCTCGGAGAAATCACATTAAGAGATAGATAGAGTACACACTACTAAGCAGAAAGCACAGCAGCAGTCCCGGCAGCCGCCGCCGCTTCCCGACGCTTGATCCCCGCCCGCAAGCCTCGTTCGCTGGGCGTGCGACCCATGATCGATCCCGAGAGCACCTTCAGGTGCGACCTGCGCGCATTCACCCCGTGGCGTCTGCCCCCAGCCTTAATCCGGCGTTCCCGCTCCTTGATGTCAATAAACTTGCCCCCAATGTCGACAAAGTGTATCGGCATCCGACCAGGTCGTGTGACCTTCTGAACCGGCTCTCGAGGCGACTTGATCGTAGCTGTGTCGGGGAACCGCGGCATCAAACGAGGATTAGACTTGTTGGCCAGTGACTCTGCAGCCAAGCGCTCGGCGAGAAGCTTGGCGTGCTGCAGAGCAGCTGGTAGGATGGGTTCCTGGAGCATACCCGTTACCGCAGACGTATATCCAACGCGTACGAATACGCACCTTGCCATCATCGTACGCAGACTCCCAGTACTGTCTCTGGAAACGCTGCCGTTCTGCGTCACGATTCTCCTTCTCCTCGAGGAGATCAGCAGCGTGAACGTTGCTGAATTGCACGCCCGGACCATCGCGGACCCCGAGCAGCATTTCCATGCCCCATTGGAAGCCAGTTTGGAGAGGTTTTTCCTGTGCAAAGCATGAGCTTAGGAATGGACAAGAAAGAGCGCAAGGAGGTTCAGATGGGGTTGAAAACGGTATAACCATGATCCAGTGATGTAAGGGCACCGGGGTGTCTTACAATATCGCGAATGAAGGTTTGGTATCATCATATCAGGAGGAAAAAAGAAAGATACTGACATCCTGAGAAGCAAAGATCCATAGTGTTCAGTACCGATCAGCGTAGAATGTCACGAGACAAAACAGTACCTGTGAGAAACGCATTAGCACACAGCACTCATCAGTAGCACAGGGAGCAGGTTCAGAAAGTAAGAAGATTTTAACCACGTAGGTGTCTTAAAGACTAATCGATTTATTTGACTCATCTCGAGAAACGGAAAGGGACACGAAGGGACGTAGAGAACGACGACACACCTTGACAAAAGCGGCCTCCAATCCTTTGAGCCTCAGGATAGCGTCGACACGTTTCAGGCTGACGTGGAACCGTTGAGACAGGACACGGATGTTATTCCTCCTTGGGTCCAACATGTACTGCTCGTACATTTGCGTCTTCACGGCATCGGATATGGGGTTCGGGGGCTTGAAGGAGTAATTCATGGGGAACGGCTGGACGCGTGATGAGCTTCAGAAAGGTTGTGGGCTGTGAGGGACAGACGGACGGCTCTCGTTTCCCCTGAGATGTAGTTATTCGGCTGTGCGACTCTGTACTTGTCCATGGCCTTCAGAAACCCGCGGTATGTGCTAAGCTGTGTGGAGATGTCTTCCAGCTTGGAGTCGGAGTCCTGGGTGGGCCGGGCAGCTTGTGCGTCTACGCGCTCAGCTTGCTCCAAGGCGTCTTCCGACGCAGCATCCTGCGGAGAGGCGAATCTCGGAGACGAGAAAGCGATGTTACGTCGCAAACAGAGCTGCTGCAGTGGACGAGCACATTGTGGACGGAATGAAAACATTGGAAAAAGTTTTTGCTGACCTTAGGGCATAAGAGGAACAAACAAGGCACATCGTGATCAAAAATCATCATCAAATCACAACGACGCGCTAGCCACCGGGGGCGTGTGAAGTTGCTGCATCAAGCGGCTAGGCTCATTTCTCTCCCATATGATTTCGTAGGCTCATACTAGCTCATACTCTAAGGCCTGTAACGGACGAAATTTGTGCCCGTACTTACGCCATCGTGCTGCCGCTTGCCGGTCAACTCATTATGATCTCGAGGAGGCAGTCGACCATAATCCATCACTGGCAGCTGGGTATATTCTGGATTGAAACATATGTCTATAACAACGAGCGTCATACATGCTGCGAAAACAAGCCCTAGATCTCGCTGAATTTTTCCCTTTGATTGAACGCACGCTTGGAACGAACTTGAAGGTCTCGGACAGCCTTGCACAAGATGATAGTGGGGAAAAAGCATACATGTACATTCGAATCCTGCCTTCTAACGGCAAGACCCGGAAGTGCCCGATCTCCGATCTGCTAGAAAATACAAAACTACGTGTGTAAATGGCGCGATACTAAATGATGGTGGGGAATGTCTCTATGATTGTCTCTATGCAAAACTCCAGGTTGTGCTACATGTAAATCCGCCAGGCCACAATAAAAAGAGGGAGGTAAGAAAAAGGGGGAGTGTGTGTGAAAGGTCCGTCACGGGTGTGTCCGGTCGCTCAGACGTGGTTGTACGCGCCGCTCTGGTGAGAATGCCGCTCTTGGTCAATCGCGAGCGGCGGCGCCGGCTCGTCCTTCTCGTTCTCCGTGGAGGCTGTAGAGGCCGAGTCCTTGAGCACGTCATCCGGTTTGGAGTAGAAGATGAGCCCCTTCCAGAATGCGATCGCAGTCAGGACGATGAGCACGGCCCAAGTGATCACGATCACGACCGTCAAAACCGCATGCAGCGTTAACAGCCCCGGGACGTTCAACAGTTTGCCAAGCGATTTCGTGGTGTTGATCCAGCCGACTGGGGGTTGATCAAGTCAGCTATCGATGGAAAGCAGAAGGAAAGGGAGAACAAACCGTTGGGGAAGGTCAGCGCCCAGCCTAGCAAAAAAACGAGTCAGCTCAGGTGGGGAGACTCACGAAACTGGAGACTCACATCCAAGGATCTCGTTCAGGTGTTTGTGCACTTTGAACCAATACGGCAGAACACCAAACACGAAGAGGAACACCGCGAGCCCGTACAGCATCAGCGCTGACATGATGCTGACGGCGTACCAGATCTCGCCCGCTTGCGGCGAAACGAGATTGAACTGGGGCAGACTGTGCAGAGATCCGTGAGAAACGAACGAAGATAGATAGATAGATAGATGGCGCACAGGTCCTTGGCGTGGCGTCCGAGGTTAAGCAGGGCAAGGGCAGTAAAGCCAGGGGGACCGCAGGCAACAAATGCACCGTTTGCCTGATGTCCGTCCAAGAACCCAGTCTACACATGCGCGTCAGCTCCATTCCACCGGGTTGGGTTCGGAATGTCTTACGGTCATAACCCGGATCACATAGATGCAGATGTAGATGAAGGTCATGAAGAACCCGAGACCTGTGATACAATATTCAGGAAATAGCCTCGGCAATATCCGGTGTCCACATACCCTGGAAGAAATAGCCGACAAAGAGGACGCCCAGAGCTCGGGGATCGTCGTTCGCCATCACGTTCAGAACGTTGAAAGAAACCACGCCGACCAGCATCTATCGGGACGTCAGCCGGTCTACTGCAGCGTAGGATGCCCATGGCACATACCAGAGGGAAGACCTGCGACAAACAGTCAGTCAATCGCACGACGTCATGGCAGGATCGGGGCGCACCAAGAACGCATAGGCAGGTGTGAAGTGGTTCAAATCGTGTGGCTTATTGAACCAGATCATCATCATCGGGAAGCAGGTCAGCAGCGCGAACACCGTGTACACCCTACATGCCCGGGGTTCAGCGGGGTTCAGGGACAACGGAGAAATGCTCCCACCAAAACAGCACATAGATCAGCTCCGGTCCGATGTGTTTGGGCGGCACCGCGTAGTTGATCGTCCCGATAATGATAGTGGCGAACGAGAGGACGACGAGGGGGACGAAGATGCCTTTGACTGGGTCCTGCACCAGCCTCCATGCTTGCCTCGGAAAGACTGCCAAGACATGCCGTCAGCCGGGAGAGCCACGTGCGTGCGCGAGACGCACCGATGGCTTGCGCGAGGAGGGTGCTCGTGTTGAGCAGGAAGAGGGCCATGTTGATGAAGTAGAAGACCACTTGGAGAGTCACCAGCGCGGGCGTCTGTGCCTCGAGGCCAGAGAGCGAGACGTAGACGGCACCGGTGCCCATACCGATCGGGAACTGTTAATTAGCCACTCAGCCACTTCGATACAAGGGGCGCATTCGGAATATATGCTCACCGCTTGCCACGACCATCCGTGGATCCGGCGGAACAGGGAACTGACTTTGGATTGGTTCTCCATTTTGAGGGGGTGAAGGAGGGAAAGGCGGGAAAAGGGAAGAAAGAAAGAAAGGAAACCGAGGAAAGGGATTGTCGATGAGGAGACAGAAACAACTGGCGCCTCCTTAATGTATGCACGCCCTGCGCGAAAAAGAAGAAGAAGCAGCGGCCGAAATCGACGAGCTCCACACGACGAAGCAACCGAAACCAGGGTGAGCGGCTCATGGCTCTTAGGATCACATAAGTATTTGAAGCCCAGTGCCAAGTATTCATGGACGAGAAGCAGAACAATGACCGAATCGCGGAGCCAATCATATTTCGTCGACTAAGATTGGGGGTAGCTGCTGGGCGGCTGTGCGAACCGTTTCGGCTGTGAGAAGACAAACAACCTTCTTGGTATCACAACCAAATCACGATTTCCGATAGGAAAGCTTGGTCTCTGTTCAGCAGCGCCCGCTAGGTAGCTGGACTCGAGCAACGGCCGAGCAATAGACGCCTGAGCGGTGTTCTCTCCGAGGCCAAGGCCCAAGGCCCGTCGCGGCCTCGGTGGGTGTGCGTAGACGCTGGATGTGCCAGGTTGTCGGGTGGACTTGGCAGAGACTGCACATTCGTGAGATCTTCGATCAGTTGTCAATCCACGGATGCAAGTGTCAAAAAGTAGGTGTCAAAGGAGTTACGATTTTCTTGTGTTTGGCTACCGGGATCGTCCGCGTCTCCTGTCAGCGGCGTCCTCCGGGTTATCTGAACTGGGTGCTGTGTAGCAAGCAGTCTGAATTGTACATGGACGACGACGATGGTGCGCCTCCGTGAGCCATCTCAGCATATCCTAGAGAAAGAAGCAGATCATCTTGAAAGTTCGGAATGAATGCTTCGAGAACGCGTTCAGTATCCTGTGTTGCATATCTGCCGCTTGTGTCTATCATCAACCAAGCCAAGCGCTTGAGGTGGCTCGGATCGGATCTTTCTCGCTCAGGCGGTAATAATCTGCTGGCCGCTCCCTGCTGCTCCACGTTGTTTAGCGGCACCTCTAAGTGACTAAACTTGCAGCCGCAAGAATCCATCTAAATACAAGACATCATTACTTATCCATCTACCTGCAAGACATCATAGCACAGGACTCGGACAAGTTCGGAGACCCAAGACAAAAAGATGCCCGGAACCGATGGTAGCCGCGCGGACTGCTCAGGGTAGGGCACCGACTCCACACGTGATCGCGATCATTTCGCCCGACCTCCGCCCCACTTTGCTTCATCTTTCTAGCCGCGTCGCCGTGGCTTCTAAATCCACCTTATCTGGGCATCCCGATGCCCGAGTCAATACCGAGGCCTCACCGAGTGGCCCGGATGTGCCAGAAGTATTCTTTGTATCATGTCAGAAACCGTGTAAGTTTCCGATACCTACACTGCGAGCGGTGCGTCATGAACAAACGCGTCGCCTGAGTCCTCGCAACGCCGCCTTCCACCATTGAATACGAATCTTTCTCTCAGCTTCGCACGCATGCCAAGGAACTCACGGCTGACGTCAACGCATCGTAAATCCTGGATGAAGAAATGGAAGGCAGAGCGGAGGGGAACAAGGGCCTGCATACCAGTACGTGCGTCGCGTCCGATCCGCACCCCCGTCACCGTGCATCGTCGCATCGGCTCGGCCCCCTTCTGTTCGCCCACCGATGACAAGGCGTGGCTATCTTCATCGACTGGCAACTACTACACCCCTAGGCTTGGACTTAACGACAACGCGCAACTGGCCTCCCATGTCGATGCCACTGCTGCTACCAACGACCAGCGACCGCGACTAGAATTCTATCGTCGTACTCAACGCGCGAAGATGCTCGATGTGCTTTCCGTGCTTCCTGGATACGCCAAACATGTATTCTTCTTTGCACGACGGCCGCCGTGAAGTCATGCCGCGGAATCGGAGTTCTGGCTCGCTTCAAGCAGGGAATGGTATCAAGCCGGCACCCATCCAAGCGTCGACTCCAACGAATTCACCTTCTCATTTCCAGCAGATCAAGGTTACATCCAGCCAAAAGATACACGACCACGACCCCTAGTTTACACCAAATCGTCGTCAAAGTGGCTCAGCTTGACGTCGCCCGGGATGCCCTTCGCGATCTTCGCGCACGCCGTGCACACCTTCGCGCTGGCGGAGCACGCGGCCGCTTTGGACGCGGAGGCCTTTGGAGGCGCAGGCTTGGTTGCGACCGGTGCAGTGGGCGGCTTGGTCACTGGCTTTGTGGGCGGTTTCGTGACGGGTTTGGTGGGAGGCTTCGTGATCGGTTTGGTGACTGGCTTGGTGACTGGCTTGGTGGACGGTTTCGTGACGGGTTTCACGACAGGCTTGCCCACAGGCCTGACGATGGGCTTCTTCGTGACGGGTCTGGCGATAGGCTTCTTCCCGATAGGTTTCCTGATTGCTCTCGCGGAGAGATCTTCGGAACCATCGAGAACGTCTTCGCCGTCCGTGACTTCCTCAACCAGCGCGCGAGCACTGAGTTCGTTCGAATCCTCAGGGACCTCTTCGAGCAGCTTGCGAGTGCCGAGTTGGTTTCCGATGAAGCATTTGGAGTCGAAGAACTCGGGGTTCGACTGGGCCTGTTGTCGTCGATACAAAGTCAGACCGATGATGGGACGAAGAACGACAACAAGGCACGCACCAACAGCGCAAAGAACGCGTAGTTCTGCGGGTTCTGCGGCTTCAACGGGGCAGCGAGGTTCTGAATTTGGTTGAACCCATAGGCGCGCACCCCGGCGACCTTCTGGTCGATGAAGCGCTCGATCTGGGGGTTGTTCATGAGCGGGTCCGAGTGCTGGACCTCGTGGATCAGCGTGAACGCGAGCGGTGGGACGGGCAGCTGGCCGCTGAAGACGAAGCCGCGTGTGATGTCGAAGTTGCCGCTGGGGTTCATCCCCGCGGCGGCTTGCGCGATGGTGTGCGTGTTCTGGAGGGAGCCTTCAGTCCACTGATCGTTGCTTACAATTCTACAAGACGAGAACGCACGACGAAGGACAGCGGGGAGAAACGAATCAGGTTGAGCGTCGGGACCGCACTCGAGCTCTTCGTCCGCCGGCCGACGTTGATGGTGTTGGCGTAGACGTCGCCGGCCCTGGCAGCTGCCGCGGGCACACACGTGAAGATCACATCCGTCGCGCTGTTCTCGAACGGCACCGTCGAGGCGATGAGGTCCGGCGTCGTGAGCTTATGGACGAACCCAAACCGGCCCGCCACGCTCGTCGTCGACACCGTGGAGCCACCTGGCCAGAGCACGAGTCAGACACCGCTCGTCGAAGCGGGTAGAATGCGCACGCACCGAAGATCCAGGAGACTTATTATACCGGCTTGTCAACCAGGCTTGTGCCCCATGTCGGAGTTTAAAATTAGCGGGCCGGGCTTGGCTTGTGTGATGGGGGCGTGGGCGTAGCTTGTGCACAGATCTGATCAATGATATCGTCGCTGCTCATCGCGTCAGCCCCGCGCTCACGTCGGACGTGCTATTTAATGGTCGTAGTACATCGTCCTTCATTCTAAATGTATATATTAGCTGCATTATGCTTCGGACGCCTCAATTGTCACCACCATCAAGCACGAGTAGCCCGTGCTCAGTGATAGCTCACCGCCTCTTCGTTGTGCCTTGCCACCCCTTTGCCCGGGACCGTCCCCGCGCTTTCTTTGCGCTTTACTCGCGCTCACCATCAGAGATCGCTTTCTCCAGCCTCCGCTTGTGCCGCTGTCTCCTCTTGGCCGGGATCAGTGCGTACGTCGGCGCCTCGCCTCGAATGCGAGATCAGCGGTAGCTCACCACCTCTTTGCTGTGCTTTGCCGCCCCCTTGCCCGGGACTGTCCCCGCACTTTCTTTGCGCTTTGCTCACGCTCACCGTCGGAGATTGCTTTCCAGGTTCCGCTTGTTCCGCTGTCTCCTCATGATTGGGATCAGTGCTTACATTGGTGCCTCGCCTCCAGTGCGGTGGTAGACCGGGATATGGATGTGGGGTCGTATCCGCAGTGCTCCGTGAAGAAGCGTCAGAGGCTCGAACGTTCTGAGACGCGTCCGAAAATGCCACTCACATTTTGTACAACCCGTGGAGTTCCGGGGTTTGTCGAGACTCGAAACCAATCAATAGCTAACACCCAAAACAGAGCCTGAGGAGTTCCGAGGCGCGTTCGAAAATTCGACCGACCTCTTTCACCGCCCGTGGATTTCCGAGGCGCGTCAAAATCGAACCAGGATCGGAAAAATATGGACCTGAGTAATGAGAATGTAAGAATGAGAACTTGTATTATTCTGTAAGCTACCTCTTGTATATATACTAAATATCTGTATTTATCTAGAAGGTCGTGGAACAAGCAGGAGGGCGGTAGTGAGATAAGTAATGACAAGTAATTGCCAATTACTTATCATTACTAGTAAGATATGCGATCGCCAACACTGAGCATGCCTTCTAAACATACCACCTGTGCCACTCACATATTCCAAAGTTTTTAAGCATTCATGAGCGCAGAGCGTTGCGGGAATGATGATGGTGCTGTACAATCATAAGACTTTCACTCATAGGCACTGACTTCGAAACTACTTCGAATCGCAAGCACCTTGTTGCATATCACAGGCACCGACCAGCTCAATACACTTCTGCAAAAAAGCCCGACAGTCCGTGATGCGTTTGAGCCTCTCTGTGATGCGCAGGTCGAGAAAAGAGTACTTGGCGGCGTATCTCTATGTAAAATATGATTAGACCATCTTTAGCGCTGTCGATCAGCATGTACATGAGCCCTATCTATCGTAGAGTACAACGTATAGCTCATAAATACCGCAGATAGCCTCTGATTACGCTTTAAACTATGGGAGACAAGCCGATTTGTCGGGCATGACAAGCCGACAAATTGGCTTGCAAGCCTGATGGCATCAGCTGCCAGCCAAATCCACGCCCATCAGTAAAAAAGCCGTTTTGCGCAGGCGCAAGCCGTTTCGTCATGCCCGAAACGTCGGTCTCGAAGATCCAGAAGTACCCGTTGCTCTTGCTCATCCCGGAGACGCTCAGCGTCCGGGTCGCCTTCGCAGCGGCCGCCTTGGCGTCGGAGATGGCGTTCTTGATCACCGCCACCTCGTTTGGCCCGCACTTCTCGTCGTCCGGCGAGCCCGTGAGCGTGGCCAGCGGCGTACCAACGAGGATGTGGAAGTTGACGCCGGCGCGGGCTGCGAGCTCGACCTCCTCGAAGAACTCGACCGAGTGCGCGGTCACGGGCACGGGCGAGGCGCGCGCGGTCACGAGGAGCGAGAGCAGCACCGCAGATGTCGGTGCGATGAGGTGCATCGTCGTGGTCGGGAAATGGGGGAGGGAAGAATAAGAAAGGGAACGAGAGGGAGAGAAGAAGAAGGGAAGAAAGGCTCTGTGCGGTCTATGCACGAGAGGGACGAAGAGGAATGGGGATCCATAGACCCCCAGAGCTGTGGTACTTGTACCCTGCGCGCCGAGATACCGCCCACGATCAGACACCCGATCGTGCTTTTTTCGGGTTTCACTTGCTGCAGCGCCTTCAGATGTAATCCATCCCATGAAACACACGTCTCCTGTGAGAAGGCCATGGCGATCAGCACACCGAGGAGCCCGCACTGAGTCGAGCAGGATACTCGAGCGCTTGTCCACTCACTCGATCGGAACATCAGAAGGTTGTAGTACCCACACTCCAAGTCATTTCGAACCCATCGCCAGAAAATGCTCCTAATTAATTCAACCAGTTCATAGCCTGAGAATCGATAGCCTCGACGGCCTATATACCCGTGAACATGTATACCTCATCAGAACCGCTAGCAGTGCCTCAACCTTGTCAAGATTTCGACGGTCCCAACCGCGACACGACTGCCACAGACCAAGAAGCTTTGAGACACCAACCCTCTTTTCTCTTCCGCATGTCGGCGGCGCGCTCGAGCGGCTATGGGCGCTTTCATTTCATATCGAGCCACACGCGTCGTTCCAACGTTCAACGTTCAACATCGCGGTAAATAACGAGGCTCCGACGTCGAGTTCCTAAACCAAAAGTGTTATGCCCGCATTCTGCTTCTGAAAGCACAGGTGTAAAGTGAATATACCCATCCCCCGGATCTGATGGGACCCACTCTGATTCCAATCATGTGTCCTCCTCATTTGGTTGCAAATCAGCGCTTTGACCCCCCTGTTTTCTGGTCGCTAAGGGCGTTGTCGGGCGGGTCCTACTAGTGGCAAGCTGTGACATACAGTCTCCTGAGACGCATCCGACCGACGACCAAGTGAACTGGCCCCCAACGACTATCATCGGTTTCGTGTGCGGTTTTGCTCAAACCGTACTTGCAGCCTCTCGTACGGGATGAACCGCATCGTATGTCCATTCCTCTTCAGCAGGATAGCGAGTACCGAGTCGTCTGCGCGACACGGTACAGTCGACCCGCATACACCCATCGCCGTTCGTGTCCTTGGATAAAAGCCACTTCGTGACCACACGCTTGGTCTAGGAGATCGCCGGCGCCAAATGTGGTGTTAGCATGGGTTTCGGAGATAGTGGCTGAGAATTTAGTTGGAGGTTGGTCCAAAGAGAAGTCCACAGATCCAAGATCCACGGTAAAGAAGATGCGCCCGGCACCGCGCGGCGAGTGGGTCTAATTAGAAGACCCTCGGCACACGTGCTCGACACACGTGATCGTGACGACTTGACGCTGCCAAATATAGCCGACACGTGATAAGTTGCAGGCTGAAGGCCTTTGGCAGCACATCATTATCAGTCTGCCGAAGAGTCTCAGAGTCATGCCAAGTCCAGCTCAAAGATTCATTTCGATGACCACCTCACTTCGGGATACTGCGCTAGCAACGAAGGATATACGCGCGGCCTGACTTGGTGACTCGGATAATCCAGGACCAATGAGTGTGACGCGCCACGCCTGTGTTTGCGCCTCCGACGCCTGTTCCGTGCAGGGTGCTGCGTGCTGCATGCCATGAATAGACCCGCTGCTCGAGATCTGGAAACGCTATCTCACCTCTGGCCTGTCAAACGCGAAGGAACCGACGACTGACGTCGTCATACTGGATGTCGCTCCACGGCGGTTGGAACCCAAGCAGGGCAAGCGACTGCCTAATCTCGCTCCAGTATCCATCCGCAATGCCATCGAACTCGTACTGGAGGAAGGAGCGCGAAGGGACCGATGACACACGTCCGATCCCAATCCCCGTTGCCGTACGCCCTCCAGGATATGCGGCTGGCAGATGCAGATATGCAACCGCATTTCTTCGTCGAACAGTGCGCTGACAGCCCTCTGGGCGGTAGAGGACATCCCTGGACTAGGGTTACAAGGGCTGTACTGCTATCCGTGGCCCGACAGCGAATCATGCGCGCCAACGGCCGTGCTTGGGTGGATCTTTCCAATCAACCTTTAGCTATCATACGCCATGCAGATATCCACTGAACGACACCCGCAGTGAGGTGATCCATCACCGCTGGATGATCTCAGCGCCCGTTCCATCGTCTAGTCAAACGACCCACTCAGGACTCAAATGTCGAAACATCGCCACCGACCAGAGCCCCTCGATCAACCAAAAAAAAACTCCTTTCTCAATTAATTCCTTCATATTAAGTACATGTACACATCCCTATCCAATCCGCAAGACAAGCCAAGATTACACCGAGTCGTCGTCAAAGTGGTTCAGCTTGACGTCGCCGGGGATGCCCTTCTCGATCTTCGCGCACGCCGTGCACACCTTCGCGCTGGCGGAGCAGGAGGCCGCTTTGGACGCGGAGGGCTTGGGGGCTGCGGCGGACTTGGAGGCGACGGGCTTCGTGGGCGGCTTTGCAACCGGTTTGGCGACCGGTTTGGCTACGGGTTTCGCAACTGGTTTGGCCACGGGCTTTGCGACTGGTTTAGCAACCGGCTTCGCGACAGGCTTTGCCACGGGTTTAGCGACAGGCTTTGCCACTGGCTTGGCCACAGGTTTCGCCACCGGCTTAGTTACTGGTTTCGCCACTGGTTTCGCAACGGGTTTGGCGACAGGCTTGACCACAGGCTTCGCGACGGGTTTGGCGACGGGTTTAGCCACAGGCTTGACCACAGGCTTCACGACAGGCTTGGCCACGGGCTTCTTCACGACGGGTTTCTTGACTGCTCGGGCGGAGAGGTCGTCGGACTCGTCTTCAAGAACGTCCTCGTCATCCTCCACCAGCTCACGAGCGTCAATCTCGCTCGACTCTTCAGGGACCTCCTCGACGTCCTCGACCAAGTGGCGGGCACCAAGTTGGTTTCCGATGAAGCACTTGGAGTCGAAGAACTCGGGGTTCGACTGGGCCTGTTGTCGACGTCAGCCCGATGAAACTGAACAACAACAACCTGAACACACGCACCAGCAGCGCGAAGAACGCGTAGTTCTGCGGGTTCTGCGGCTTCAACGCGGCGTCGAGGTTCTGGATCTGCTTGAACCCGTACGCGCGCGTGCCAGCGACCTTCTGGTCGATGAAGTGGTCGATCTGCGCGTTGTCCATGAGCGGGTCCGAGTGCTGGATCTCGTGGATCATGGTGAACGCGAGTGGCGGCACGGGGATCTGGCCGCTGACGACGAAGCCGCGCGTGATGTCGAAGTTGCCGCCCGGGTTCATGCCTGCCGCCGCTTGTGCGATGGTGTGCGTGTTCTGGAGAGACAGATCAGTCGCCTTTTCTCATCGTGCCAGAGAGCGAGACAAACGCACAGCGAACGAGACCGGGGAGAACCGAATCAAGTTCAGCGTCGGGACCGCAGTCAGACTCTTCGTCTTGCGCCCGATGTTAACGGTGTTGGCGTAGACGTCGCCGGCCCTGGCAGCTGCCGCGGGCACACACGTGAAGATCACGTCCGTCGCACTGTTCTCGAACGGCACGGTCGACGTGATCTCGTCGGGCGTCGCGAGCTTCTCGACGAACTTGAACCGGTCCGCCACAGTCGTCGTCGAGGTCGACGAGCCGCCTGTCAGATTCGATTTCACTCAGCAATCACTCAATGCGAGCAGGATGGGCACGCACCGAAGATCCAGAAGAACCCGTTGCTCTTGCTCATGCCGGAGACACCGAGCGCCGAGATGGCTTTCGCCGACGCCGCCTTGGCGTCGGTTATCGCAGTCTTCAGCAGCGCGACCTCGTCTGGCCCGCACTTCTCGTCGTCCGGCGTCCCGGTGAGCGTGGCCGGCGGCGTGCCGGCGAGGATGTGGAACTTGAGGCCCGTGCGGGCCGCGAGCTCGACCTCCTCGAAGAACTCGACCGCGCGCCCGGTCACGGGTATCGGCGAGGCGCGCGCGGCGACGAGGAGCGAGAGCAGCACCGCGGATGTCGGTGAGATGAAGTACATGGCAGCAGAAAAACGGAGAGAGGAAGGAAGGAAGGGAAAGAAAAACAACGAGGGGCGGAGAAGAAGAAGAAGAAAAGAAAGGCTCTGTGTGGTCTACACACGAGAGGGACGAAGGAGAATGGAGATCCCTGGCCCTGCAGCCGGGGTACTTATAGCACCCAGCGCGCCAGGGTGTCAAGATAACGCGCCATCACTGGTTGGATGGTGATCATATTTTTCCCACGTTTCATCACTTTCATTTCTGCAGCGCCTTCGGGGTGCAGATAGGACCTCTGATTACACGGTCAAAACTTAGCCCGGATGTCGGGCCTTTCGGCCAATTTTTGTCCAACGCAAATCGAGGCTGAACCCGGGATTTTTGTCCAACATGTACATAAGTTCCGAACATTCTATTTTTCGTATCTACATGTGTAGAAACTTCAAAAATCGAATTTTCGCCCATCTAGGCCATCGCAGATGCTGTTTTGGGTAAGCTAAAGGCGCTCGGGATCAGAATCCTCCATGTCCGACTCCACACTCTTCTTCTGCCGGCTCTTAAGGCTCATCATCGCATTTGCAAAGTGTGCATGACCTTAAGTCATACTTATGAAGCGCTGCGCTTCTGCATTGGCAAGGAGCAGTCCAGTGGGAGCGACGGTGAAAATTGATGGCGCCTTGATCGTTGATCTCCCTCGGAATCGCGCAAATTGAGACAAAACAAGATGAGTTCCGACAAAATATTGAACTCATGACCTCATAACAGGCCACCGGTAGCTACTTTGACCAGTATCCATCGACCCATTGCACCTTTTTTGTCCAACATTGCAGACTAAGTTCGACGCCGCAAGACCCCAGTTTTTGTCCAACGCCCTCCTATTTTGGGCTAAGTGTTTCAGAAAATTTCGCCTAAAATTGTCCAACAAAGTGGCTAAGTTTTGACCGTATAATCAGAGGTCCTGTGCAGATCCAACGATGATGATGAATGACATCGCCCCCTGTTGTTAGGACGGCATGGCGACCAGCACCGAGCACGCCCGGTTGAATTTCTTTGCGAACTCCAGAGGACTCCAGAGTCCATAGAGCTTTCAGGAACGAATTCGTAGCCGTGACATCCATCTCGCTCGCACCACACCCGGTCGTCGATTTCATCGGTCCGTTATGCAAGGCCTTGCAAAACGGACGATTACATACATCGGCCATCGTCTCTCCGGCTCCCATCTCTCCTGCGCCTGGTACCCTGTCACATGGAAGCAGTCTAAACCAGGGCTGCGCCTGGAAACTGCCTCCCTCTGCAATTAGTGCGCATGGGTAACATTGGTCGGCAAGGGGCATGTCGTTTCGTCACAGATCTACAGATGATGATACAGTACAGTACATAAAAACATAAGTCACAAGTACATACAGAGCAGAGTACAGATCTACCAATGTCTTACAAGTACATACATGGGCACAGTCTCCGTATATGGCGGGGGGTCCTTACAAATTACATCACCAAGCATCCATTATCCTGGACCGTATCGTCCGGCGTCTGCCGCCCGCTGGGGGACCACCAGCGCGAGCGGCCCTCCTCCGCCTCGTTCGCACTCCTCCTCATGCTCGCCTTCCGGCGCTTCTCCCGCGCAGAATGGACCGCGTCGACGGTCTGCCACCCGTGAAACGTCTGCACCACGACACGCGCCGGATCGCATTCGTCCTGGCCCACCTTGAGGAGGTATTCCTCCGCATCGCGCGCGTCGACGAACTCAAGCCCCCGCGCCCCAAAATCGCGCCAGCCGTGCCGCGGCCGCGTCTGCGGCGAGAGTTCTCTGATCAGGCTCTCGCCGAATCCGCGGCAGTCGACGCCCACGATCCGCGCGTCGTGCAGCGCGCGCTGGCGGCAGAGCCGGACGAACGTCTTGAGCACGCGCGCCCCGATGTGCGTGTTGTCGATCTCGAGTACGCGCAGGCGCGTGCAGCCCCGGACCAGAGCCAGCAGCGCGTCGTCCGTCACTTCCAGCGCGCCAGAAAGGATCAGCGTGTCGAGCGCTGATTGCGCCGGGGCTTCGTCGCCCTCCGGCGGCGGCGGCGTCAGTGTCGCGAGGACCGCGTCTGTGATGGACGACGCGTCCTCGAGATCGAGCCGTTTCAGTTTAGGGGTCGTATCGAGCAGCCGGATCAGACCCGCGTCCTCGAGACTCGCGCCGATCCCCGCAAGCTCAAGGTACTCGAGGTTCGGCATGGTATGTGCCAGATGGGAGCAGGCGGCATCGGTCAGTAGGATGCACGACGAGAGAACGAGATGTCGCAGACGCGTGATGCGCCGTCGGTAGTACGTTCCGTCATTGAAGTCCCGGCCCGCCTCCCGGGCATTCAGCGTGATGCTGTTATCTTGCCCTTCCTCTGCAGCGACGAACGCCTCGATGGCAGTGTTGTGCAGATGCCGCATGTAGCTCAGATCCAGCACCTCCAGGAACGGAGCAGCCTTGCCCAGCGCCCGCATCACGTCATCGTCTATGTACTTGACTCCTGAAATCCTCAGCTCGCGCAACGGGAGATCCACTTTGTGTCTGACGAGATGTTTGAGACCGTACGCGTCGAGGTGCTTGCAGCGACCCAGATCCAGGCTCTGCACGCCAGTGCAGTACGATCCGAGGATATCACATGTCATGTTGGTGACAGCACTAAGCCCGTGAAGACACACCCGTTCCAGCGCACGGGACTGAATAAGTAGGTGGTGCAGCGACTGCGTCGTAATCCCCGAGCAGCCTCTCAGATTCAGGCTCGTCAGATTATTAAGGGGGAGAAATCCGTAAGTCAGATGGTCGGCGATTTGCACAAGCGCACTCGAGCCGACACGCCCGTGCCCAGATATACCGAGTGATTGCGCAAACGCGCCGACGTGTGATGCGAGACGAATGAGGAGAGCCTTGGGAAGCAGAGGAAACGCGCTGAGATCAATGTCGCTCCAGATCTGACCATCGAAAACCAGCGATTGCCAGGATTTCGAGACCTGCGCTCATTAGGCTTCTATGGAGCGGCCGAAGACAGATAGCAAACGCACCCGACTGAACCGCACCAGATCCCTCATCCCGCGATTCCTCCCAACCCACTGGTTCTTGGCCGACGTCGCCTTCCCAATGGTCCACGATCCATCCTCAACTAATTTGCGCTGGTCGAGATCATGCACGTCAACGACCGCGCGCATAACCAGCACCTGCAGCTCCCGCGGCAGCATCTCCCCAAAGCAGTCCCTCCACACCGGCAGCGGAATCGCCGAGAACACATCGGACGACGCGACCGCGGGGACCAGGTCCAGCGCGCACGTCGGGTACGTCTCCGGCAGCACCTTCACCGCATAGTGCCCGTAGTCGAGCGCCCCGGGGCCCAAGTCGCCCGTGCGCCACGGCGAGTACGCGCCCGTCCCCGGGTCGAGGTCACCCGTTGTCGGCGACGACGGCGGCGTCGGGCACCCGCTGTCGTTCGTGTACTTGAACAGCAGCCGCTTCGCGATCCCGCTCCTAATCCGCGTGCGGGCCAGAGACGGGAGCGAGCGGCGGCGCCGGCGGGGTTCGGGATCTGTGGTCAGTACGCTTATCGGCGTCGGCGTTAGTGGCGGAGAAGCTGGCGGCTGGAGATGGGGGGAAATCGACCCGGAGCCCGACGGCCCGGGGCTGGGCGTGGTCAGCCACCCCGCATAAGCGTGCTCGTCCCCCAGGACGGACGGCGAGAAGACCAGAGGCGGGAGAGTGGGCGGATGCTCTTCCGCCTCCCTGGCCCTCGCTTTGCCTTTGCCGCTGCCTGAGGCGTCGCCGGCAAGCGGGAAAACCTCGGACGGCGAGAGAAACGAGAACGACTCGGAAGCCGCGGTAACGCCTGGGAACGCGCGCGGGTCAGGCATCGATACCGCCATCGCTCCCACAGCCCACGGGCTGCTGCTGCTGCTTGAGCTCGCACCGGGGCTGCCCGCGAGCCAAGAGGGCGGCGAGGACGACAGCGGGGACGCGAACGCGTAGAACTCCTGATCCGCGCGCCGCGCGCCGTGCATGTCGAATATATCGTGCGGATCGTGCGCCGGGGAGGGGATGGGCACGGGCCGCGATGCGGCGCCCTTGCCCTTCGAGCGCGTGCCCGCAGCTGTGGCGGTCGCTGTCGACATCGTGTCCTGATCCGGCTGCTCCACACGCGGATCCTGCTGCAGAGACTGGAGCAGGGCCAGCGACGCCGCCGTGCCCTCTGCAATGAAGGGATCAAACGCGAGGTCAGGATCGAACATGGAATGGAAGAAGGAGGGAGAAGAAAGACGAGGGGGGAGGCGCAAGCTCTGTGTCTCGATAAGTACGGCAAGTCGTGAGGTAGTACTAGTATGCGGTCGGGTAACCGCCCTATTTGGACACTGCTATCGGACTCAGTGGCCCGAGCCTGGCAGCACGAATGTGGTCGGATGAGAAAGAGGAGCACCGGCCATCCAACTTGAGGGAGGCAGAAACAGATAGAAGCGATAACGCCAACCAAGAGCCCGAGGTCTGAGACGGAGATGACCGCATGGAGCAGCCAAGGAGTCTCACATCGATCCGATCACACGTCAACTAATTTAGTAGATGCAGACACACCTGCTGCAGTAGCATGACACAAGTCTACAAGTACTCTCTGCACTCCAGATTCTTACACTTCTTATCCTAAATGATATTCCTACGGAGCACTGTTGGCTATATGGAATTCCTCCGGGCGCTCTTCCCTTTCCTCCGCCCTCTGTGGCCGGACAAATCATGCTTCCCTTCTATCAGTGCTGGCGGCAGCCTGCCCTCCTCGTCCATCTTGTCCAGGATCCCACATGCAGCCTCGTAGCCCTTCAGCTGGAGCTCCTCGAATTTGCCCCACTGAAGAGTTCCGTACTAAGCAAAGCAATCAGACAGCGTGAGCAGTGAAAGTCCCGCGCAGCTCACATCTTGGACAGGCATCCCGATATATAAACAACCCTTCGCGACTTTCGCCTCCTCTAATGTCTTGACACTCGAAACACTGCCCAGATTCAGAAGACGCCCCTACAAGGAAAAAGAAACGAATGCGTACTAGGCGAGCCGACTCTGGATCTCGGTAATCGGCGGGACCAGCCGTGCGTCCGAGAACGGGTTCCACCGGTTGATCAGCAGCCACCAGCCGGAGACAGAGTCGCCGAAATTGCGCGGTGTGTTGTCATCAAGCGAGCCGACATCGCACGCGAAGACGGTGCTCGCTCCCATAGAGAACATGGTCGTCACCGGCAAGTTGTCCACTGCATTGGGGGTCAGATATGTGATTACACAAGACGGTGTGGAACGCACCATAACCGCCGTCGACGAGCATCTCCCCGTTATTGCACAGCGGAGGCAGCAGTCCGATCAGAGTCATTGATGCCCGGATGAACCGCCACGCGTAACCGTTCTCGTGGATGTCCATCCGCGACGTCATGATATTCGTCGTGTTGCAGAAGAATGGCAGCCACATGTCCTCGATGTGCAGGTCATAAAACGCCTTGTACACCGCGCGGTTGAACTCGTGCCCGGTCGTGTACGCCACAATCGGGTACGTCACATCAGACAGAATCCGCCAGATGTTGCCCATCCGCCCACTGAAATGTTTCGCACGGCCAGCAACCGAGATCACGTTTCCCTCTCTCGCATAAAGACCCCCGATAAACGCACCAATGCTCGTGCCCCCGATATGGTCGATCGGAATGCCATACTCTTCAAGAGCCCGGATCAGACCAATGTGCGCAATCCCCCTCGCTCCGCCACCTCCAAGCACAAGCCCAATGCTCCGCCCGCACAATCTCCTCGCGAGACGCGCAAAGTCGTTGGCTTGCGGCATCCGTTGCGGTCGCGGATCACTCGCCGCCGTCTTCCGGAACTTTTGTATCTCATGCTGCACCTTGTCTTTCAGATTCTTGAAGGTCGTCACCGCGTCTGGGTCTTTGGGATTCGAAGGAGGTTGTTTGGGGATAGGGAGAACCAGACCCGGAAGCTCGACGTGGATATGCTGGTAGATCCATGGTCGGTTCTGCAAATTCTGAGCATCCAAGAGCGTTCTTAGATGCAATACGCACCTTGAGCCATTCACGTGTTGACCCCGGAACAACGGTCCGATCGGGATGCAGCAACACCAGTTCCTTCCTCGCAGTGGTCTTCATCGACAGCAACAACCGCTCGTACTCGCCAATAGACGGATCATCGCCCATTCCCACAACCATCACGCAATCCGCCTGCCGATGTTGAGCATCTGTCTCTTCTGGGAGAGCACAACACTCACTTGTCGGATACACGTCTGTGTCCACGAGCTGTTGACAGGAGAGTCTGCGACATACAGCACCGTGCGATACTTCTGCTCTTGGTCCGCAAGCCCTGACAGACACATCAAACTCCTCGCCGATGCACAACAAAAGAAAGAGCAACTCACACCCCGCAGCCTTCAGCTTTCCCATCCTCGTGAACGCATGTCGTCCCAGATGCTGCGAGACCGAGGCCTGGTTCAGATACGACGTCGTCGCACCGATGCCCTCCAGTGCACTCTGGAGCTTGCGGGCAAATGCGTCGATGGGGATCGATCGCGAGACAGGCAGCACAGCTACTGTCTTCAAGTTGTTGTTGTCCGACCGGGTCGCATTCTGAGTCGATGAAGTGTCCAGTTCGTCTCTCACTCTCGATGCGATCATCCGGAGCAGCCTGGAACAGCTGAGCGAAAGAGGAATGTGTGATAGAACTGCTTACTGCGCCGTCGTCTTTGGATTCCGGGAGCTGATCGCGTTGAACAGCGTCTGCGGCATCCGAATCAGCTCCGTGTCACGAATGGCATGCACGGTGCTGCGTCTGGGGGATGTCGTGATCACATCCAGTTCACCGACGGTGTCTCCTTGGCCATATTCACCCAGAATGCTCACGACACCGCTGTCGTCTTCGGCTATTGCGCGCAGACGACCGTTGATGACAATGTAAAAGCTGTCGCTGACATCTTCGGGACGCCAGAGGACTGTTCTCTAATGAAAAACGGACAAGAGAATAGACCCGAGATATCCACCTTGTCCAGCATTGACCTGCATCCAATCAAGAGAGGCGTCGATCTGGAGGACTAAGGAAGCTAGTCAATACAGCGACAAGGAAAGACATGCATCCCCTACGTAGCGGAGACAACAGCGATATGAGCCGCTTTGCCAAAGTCAGCAACACGATCGGACGTTTCTCGAGCAATCGTTCGAGTGCATTAGAAGGCAAGAAGCCAACATACGCATCTGTCTTCGCTTTGATATCCACATAGGAAGCGGTGTTGCACAGTGCCGCTGGAACGTGGATATGAGGATCAAAAGAGAATAGTCGAGCGCAGACACTTGCATAGATAACCAGCGATCCCTCCGGGCTTGACTGTGAACAGCAGCTTCTGTGCGTTCTGGTTGGTCTTTTTCCCCGGTGTTCGCCACGGCTCGGCATCGGCCACCGACGGCGTCGAGCTCTGGGGGTTCTTGCGGATGTGGGCTTCGTTCTGAGGCAGGAGAATATCCAGAAAACCTTGCAACTTGCAATCAGCGCGCACTGCGACGTCACCAGAAAGGCTCACCCTCGATGACATAGAACAAACCCGTGTTCAGCTCCCCTGCTTTAGCTAGGGAACTGCCCGCAGGAAAGAACAGGATCTCGACCTCGTTGTCCAAGCCACTCAAGTAGTCGTCGCCAGAGGCCACAGTCGACGAACCGCCGGTCAGACTCGAGCCGTCATCGCCGATGTCCAGCAACGAGAGGCTGCCGAACGACGAAGAGAAAAGATCTGACGAGGAGCGGCGGCCCGGCTGAGCATCGTACGGCAGGAATGCAGGAGACGCCTCGACGCTTTCCGACGCGACCAGCGGAGGCTGGAGCAGTCCGATCGACTTGGCGATGCAGCTCATCACCTCGTCCCGCAGATCAAAGTCGGAGTCGAGCGACACACTCGACGAGCTGCGGCCGTGGATCGCGTCCGAAAGCATCGGGGTTTGCCGGGTGATGAGGGGAGTGTTCAGGATGCTGAACGTTCGTTTGAGGGCAGGATACGTGTCGTTGAGCTGAGCGGTTGATGTCATGAGATCGCCTGCATTCACGCTCTGCCGCGAATGCGACCGCAGCGGTGCAGTCGACATGGGACGCGGTGCCGCCTTTTCTGTCGGTGCAGTCCGGACAGATTCTTCAGACGACGGTCGGGACGAAAACAGACTTTCGTTGGAGGAAAAGTAGTCGGCGCTTTCCCGTGTCTTTTTCCCGCCATCAAACCGCTGCCGCAGTTGCTCTAATCCACCGCCTTCATAAAACGACGCCGGCAGGGGATGGCAGGCAATATCGTTCATCGCCAGCTCCGTGCGCAGGATTTCAGATGTCAGCCCGAGGTACTTGTGGGCCGCGTTGAAAGTGACGCGTGCGAAGCGAGTGACAATAACTGCCACCAGACATCAGTCGCCTGCTGTAGAATCCCGCGGCACGACGACTCACCTTGCACGATATGTCCCGTAGCTTTAGGAAACTTCTTCGTCAATCGACGGAATGCTTCAGCAGGGATCACGGCGAGGGTTGTGTCCTCTGTTGCTCTGGCCACCAGCCCTCGATAGAGGTTGGCAGGTCGATCGGGAGGGGGCGTCGGACGCGTTAGAGGCGGAGTTCGGTAGCTGCTTGGCTCGCCCACAAACAAGGGCGACATCGATCCAGAGCGCGGTGCGATCTCGTCGGCATGCACCGTGGAAGCCGATGACGAACTGGACATCCGTCTGAAGCGTTTGGCCGTGCCCGGCGAGCTCATCGACAGCCCCCCACTCAAAATCGACTCCGAGTCATCATGGTCATCCTGCCAGCTCATTTTCACGTCCTCCGTGAACAGAGACAGGATGGTGAACAGGCTGGACAGGGTGCCGCCGCTCCCAACCTCATTCAGTAGTTGGTATCCATTCATCTCTTCGTTCTCCCATGCACCGACTCGCTCTTCCGTCTCTTGGCCGGCGTGTGCAAACACCTGCACCATCCCGTCGATCACGCAGTAGAAACTCTTGTCCTGATCCAGCGAGATACTGTCCCCGGCGATCAAGCGTCTTGTTTGTAGATGCCGTGCGAGTTCGTGGAAAACCTGGAAGCCCGTTGAAAGAAATCGGAGAATCGAAAGATGCGGCGTACGGGTTTTTCCAGCTAAGATGGACTCGTCGATCATCGGCGTATATTTGTGATGACTGAGACTCACGAATCCGAACACTCTCACAGCCTGCAGGAAATCGTCCAGATAGTTGTGGAAAGTCGGTGGCGGATCTGAAGATGTGAGTGGATATGGACGACGCGAAGCAGAGGATGTGCACCGGTATTCACGTCGGGATGCAGCTCGTTCGCGTCAGGCTTGACCAGGGGAGGCTCTTTGAGTTGCGTGTAGTTGTTGAGGTATCGGAAACGAATGAAATAGTTGAGGATGACCAAGGAGAGGAGAAACAACATCGCGAAAGACCAGAAATTCAGCTGCAGTACGCGTCAAGGGCTTAGGACACTGGAACGAGAGGCAGATCGCACTGTGAGTGTGAGAGAATAGGAAAGAATGGCGTAGATGAGCCGGGGGATCGTGATGGCAATAGTCATCGTGGCGAAAGCCAGGAGAGCCTTCGCCCACGAAAGGGCCCATACTGAACGTGGAGGTGTGAGAAGAAACAAGCTCGTCAAATGAACGAAACGACGTGCGTATGACCCAGAAACACGCTGAAATCAACGAGAGGAGTGGATGGGAGAAAATAGGTTGACTGCCCACATCGGCGCCTGCAGGTTCGGTAACTGCGACGTTCAGTGACATTGGAAGGGATGAACGTGCAGAGCCGCATGCGGTCACGACGTCAGCGGAGCATGCAAAACGCGCTCACGTGTTTGGCTCTTGATCAATAAGCTGATAACGCGTCGATTTTCTCTCAAGTATCAATGGAGTGTCGGCAAGATTGTACTGTGTTTTCGACGACCGGAGTACGGAGGTTTCATGACTACATCCAGCACGCGATAGCCCTTGATTGCCGCCTGATACCCAAATCGTCAGAGGTAATCAGACCAGATCGTGATGTCTAGAGCATTGTGCATACACGAGAGAAATCTAAGATTAACGGGCATTAAATACTCAATCTTTCACTAATATGAAACGTTCATCGGCCGACGCGAACTTTTTGTCGGTCGGGGGAGCGTAAGGAATACCGAAGGGCATGATGGCAGTCGAACGCCATGTTTTTGGGAAGCCAAAGGTAGCACAGATCTGTTCGGCAACGGCAGGGTCATAGGCGTTGTGCTGTAAGCTGGCACCCATCCCCTCCATGGCAAGAGCGGTCCAAACGGTGCTCTGGAGCATACCAGCGCTCTTCGCAGCCAGGATGGGGACGACCGGAGTGTATTTCCTGCATGAAGCAACACGGTCAGAAGGTCGGACAGTATCAGGTAAGGCAAAAACGCACGGAGGCATGCTTTCTATCAGTCCGTCCAATATGGCCTGATCATCCCAAAACAAAACGGATCCATAAGCAGCATGGAAGCCGTCAATTCGCTTTTGTACAGTTGCCAAGTGGTCGCCTTTAAGTGATGGTCAGCCACTGCGCATTGGTAATCGCATCAGGAACACCACCTTCGAGGCCTTTGGTGACTGATTCGCGGATTAACGACCACAGCTGTCGGTGCTTCTCGCCGACCATGAGAACGAGGCGCCCGCAGTTTGAGTCCCAGCCATAGGGAGTGTGCAAGAGACACTCCTTGAGAATGTATTCGATCTTGTCGTCTGGAATCGTGGACTTGTCTGTCAGAGCATATCTGGTCCGGCGGGTGGCGATAGCGGCGAGATAGCTGGCAGACATTCGCGTTCAGGGAGAATTCACTCGACGGTATGGTCTCTGGAAACACGCATTCTCGACTCTTTATCTTTCACCACACGGCGATAGCCGGGAGCGGGTCACCGCCCCCGATTATCCGTATGAAAACGCTGAGTCTTGCGGTTGTCCCACGGTAGCGTTGACGTAGTCATCCATTCGGTTCGACTGCGGATGAGATGTTCACACGATGGCTTGAAGGGTTGCTCGCTGGAACCTGCTCGCTTAAGCCCAATGACGTTCACATCAATAATGACAGGGCACGAACACGAAACTAGAGCACACACGAAGAGAATCTTATGCAAATCATTGAGATAGCACCTCAGCAATCTCACGAGGTCTCGAACATGTCGAGAGCATTAATAGTCAAAGATTGAAACCAGGTAACCCCCACCATGGCACCGCCACTGTTCTACGATCGCGCTTGACAGCGCCAAGCAGAGACAAGCAGAACGCGCAGCTTGTCTTCGTTCGTGTTGATGGTACGCCTGTATGTCTGCATTTTTACGGTTACACTGAAGAATCGCAGTCTTCTGAACTTAGATACACTGCCAACACACAGTTAGAGCACCGTGCGTGTTCTTCTACTTTGCGGTTTAGTCGGTGGACTGACCATGGTGTCCCATAGTCCACGCACGATACACGGGGACTGGTGAATATGCTGTGCTTCATTAGCTTCTGCGTCTGGTCTCAACCCTGTTTAGGTCACGCGGATGTCTCAAAATAGTACGCATGCTGCGGATATAATGGCAGGAATGCAGACTGACGGGTGCTCACGAAGCGACTGGGTGACGCATCAGCACAGGGATACGTTGGCGTCTATCGTGGGGCACCCCACGCTGACATCGTTTCTGGCGATCGCGGACGGGCAGTCGATTGGTCGCATCAAGTTTGAGATGGCAGAGGCGCGTTGTGTTGTCTAGCACATCATGTTCTACCCGACGCTTCGCTCACTAACCCTTTGTTTAGAAAATGCTGCAGCCTTGTGGCCCTCCCCCACGCAAAGACGAAGATTGACGCTTTGAAAGGGAGCAGTAGTCTGTAATGAGACCAGATATAGTAGTCCCTTTGTGCTTTGGATCTAGGCTTTGACCCATAAGATTGACATGGGAACTTTTCGCTCATCGGGCCGCAGACATCGGTTGATTGTAACGTCCCGATTAGGAAGCACATGTCCAAGCAAAGCGCATTGACTCTCGACTTCTTCCACGACCCCCCAACCATTGTACTATCCTTTCGCCAGGTGGCTTTGCCCCACCTACAATCCCTATAATGGCGGCCATGGATCTCGTTCGCTCGCTTTCGCTCGCCTCCTCGTCCCCGGAGTCGTCGTCTTTGCATGCTGCCTCGAAATCCCCAACTCCAGAGCCCCATTACAGACTATCCAGACTAAACACCCCACCTCTTATCCCCCCAGTCCGCTCCCCCTCTCTCATTTCTCGCTCTGTGTCTGCTGGGATGCCATTCGCCTTCAAGAGGACGGAATCGAAGGAAAAAGAGAGAGCTCGTGACATAGAGAAACAAAGCCGTTCCCCGGAGCCAGAGGACCGCCCTTCAAGTCGCTTTGGATTCACTCTTCGCAAGAAAGTGTCCCTGGCGTCGCTCAGACCGGGCGGGCACGATGAAACAATGCTGTCCCGCTCCGTTTCAGCAACCCCTAGTATCCCCCCCATTTCCGCCCCCACGGTGACCCCGCCCAGCGAGAACAAGGTGGCAATCGTACTCACTTCCTCAAATGAGGGAGAGGAAGATGAGGATATCAGTGATTTGGAGGAGGAGAAGACGGGCAAGGTTCCAGAGCGGTTCGTCAAGAGGAACGGGTTTAGGACGCGACACAAGATGAAGGTGCATCCGTACGATGCACCATATATGCTAGCGTTTGATCCAGTGGTCCTTGAGGCGTGCGTTTACGCGTATCCTTCCCATCTCATAGCATTACTGACTAGTCCCCGCAGAGAACGGTACGCGCATTACCTTCTTCGCCGGCTGCTACCCTCCGGCTCGCCGACATTCTACCTCTACTCGACGCCACCCTCGAGCGTGCTCGACCTTGGCTGCGGGCAAGGGATGTGGCTAAACGATGCTGCACGCCTCTGGCGCTCCACCAACTTTTTTGGTTTTGATCTGGTTGACGTGACGATACCTGCTATAACCGACGGCTCGCTTCCCAACGTTCGCTTCGTTCGCGGAGACTTCAACCAGTTCGCGTTGCCATTTTCCAAAGATCAATTCGAGCTCGTTCGCGTCGCCAATCTATCGCATTGCATTCCCCACGATAGGTGGGAGTTTGTTCTGCGTGAGATCTATCGGGTGCTGGTGCCTGATGGTAGATTGGAGTTTCTGGATGACCAGGCAGTCTATAGCTTTGGCGAGGCACCGACGGAGGAGGAGGAGGAGGAGGAGGAGGAGGATGTCGCGGCCCGAACATTAACACCCAACGCCAACACGCCACGGCCGCATCAACAAGTCTCAGAGTTCTTTGACTCGGACGAAGACGACGACAACGACGACGAAGACGACGGGGTCATTATGACGCCCTCTTTCGACTCGGGCTCGGACTCTGCTTCTGAGCGGTCGTCTTTCACGGACGCATCTACCCTAATCGGGGATCCTTCTGAGCGGGGCTCAGTTGAACTGAAGAAGGGTCTGGCCCCGGGCGCTATTTCGCTCGAATACGAGCCTGTCCATCGTCCCTTCAGTGGCGTTGACCACTTGATTATCTCCATTCCGCCCTCTGAAAAACCATCCGTGGTCGTCAATGTTGTCGTTGATGGGCAAGACTCTCCGTCGACACCGATGGGTCCTCTGGATGCTTCTCTGGCCGCTGCAGCTGCCGTGCCTGTCCCCTTGACACCCACCACGGACGTCTCCGAGGCGCATGAAACCCCTTTCACTCGATGGACCACGCGCCGCACAGCATCTCGAGATCTGGAACGGGTGTTCCAGCGCATGATCGCGTCACAGCACAAGATGCATACCCGACCAGCTGACCTGGTAGGATCCCTGCTCTCGCGGATATTCGCTGAGGGCGAAGGGTCCGGGGGTCGGAAAGGAAAAGTGGATCAGCCGGAGACCATGCATCTGAAACTTGCGCCGATAGGGGCGGAAGAACGTCCAGGTGTAGTTGTCCGGGGGCTTGTCTCTCATGCCAAGCCGCGGATGAGCACCGATTCTGTGAGGAAGGTGCCGAAGGTCTCCGAATCGGCTAAAGTGCTGGATTCGCCTGTCCCCTCTGGTCTCAGTGCCAAAGCTGCTGAGCGCTTGGGCATCGTTGGTTCCGGTGCACCTCCGATCAAACGGCCGCGAGCGCTCTCAGCCGAGTTCTCGGACGATGAAGACGAATTTGACGAAGCAGATCGTCCGGCTGAGAATCGTTTCCCGCGACCGACTCTGGGGCGAGGCAGCTCGACTTGGGTTGCCCCCGGTGAATGGGACGCGCCTCCAGTCCCTATCGCACGATCGAATGCCACTTTGCTCGTCGATTCTCCGAGCACAAAGACCATCGGTCCTTCTGCCAGCACTCGCACGATCACCGGTGCTAGCAGCACGAAGACCATCAAACAGATGACGCTGCGTCCGAGTTCAGCTTCACGGGCCGAGTCGACTCATAAAAGGGGTGGCTCGGCTGCGTCGACCCACAGCACATCGAGCGTAGCCTCCGGGTCCTGGAATGAAGCGGATTCCGGGCCGCCACGATACTCAAGCGGGCGTAGACAGCATCCTGGGTTGATTCTCTGGCCGTCGACGTTCATACCAGTCCCACCGCTCGAGTTGGAGATGCACGCCACGCGACACATGCAGACGCTTCTTGCCTGCAAGCCTGCTTTGGCTGAATTCGTCGCAGCACATGTTGATCCCGTGACTGGTCAGCCAGTTGTTTCGGACCAAGAGTTCGAAGACGCTATTTGGGACTACGAATGGTTTGTTTATGGAATTATGTGCTGCCTCTGTTCTGATTCACATGACAGTTTCCGTCGTCCGAGGTACAACTGGCCTGAGCTGCCCGAAGCTCGTTTAGAAGAAGAAACCGAAGAAGACACGTTTCCGCTGTCTACCGCCCGCAGCAGTCACCATGCTACTGCCGGCGCACCGCCGAAGATGGAGACTCCAGTTGAAAAGATCACTGGACGTGCTCCATTTGAACAATTTGAGCTCACCCATGTTCGGACAATACGCGTTCTCGGTGCTGTCAAGGGCGGTGTTTGATCTGCCTTGACCTGGACTCTCTTGTTTTTACGACACAATCCTTGACGATTACTTGAGTGGCCTTGATCCGCCACCCTCACGCTCCTTGCATCTCTGTACTCTCTCGCACTCTCACTTTCGTTTTTGTCTCGCAGTCATCCCTTGCATCGCATTCGGAGTTTCCTTTACATTATCTTGTTTATTTTGTAGACTACGATACTTTCTTGTACTAGAACAAAGGTGGAATGGAGTTGTCTCGATACTCGGAACTGACCAAGGTGTACTGTCAATCTGTATCACATGCAGCTAGTTAGTTGTGATCGTGATCCCATCACGATCAACACAACTTGCCTTAGGTGCACTCGAATTTTGCTTGACTTGTATATTGCTCTAACCGCTCACCCTCCAGTCACCTTCTGACTCATTCCCCAACACTTACAATGAGTTACGTCGCTAAGGGAGAAAAGGAATACGACGCCACGGGTGCCCCCGTCCCCGGCGTGAAACTCCACAAAATTCGTATCACGCTCACCAGCAGCAACGTCAAGAACCTCGAGAAGTGTGCGTTGGATTGACTTGTTTCTACGAGGGTAATCCGGAATGAACGAGCGCCGAACAGTCTCCACCGACTTGATTAACCGTGCCAAGGACAAGCAGCTCCGTGTCAAGGGCCCCGTGCGTCTCCCGACCAAAGTCCTCCGCATCAGCACCCGCAAGACTGTGCGTACTTGCTCTACTGCTTCTTGTGCAGATCCAGTCGATCCTGATCTTCTTGTGTGTGTGGATATAGCCTTGTGGTGAGGGTTCGAAGACCTGGGACGCGTATGAGCTCAAGGTGCACAAGCGCCTGATCGACTTGCACTCTTCGAGCGAGATCGTCAAGCAGATCGTGCGTCGCTTCCCTTGGTCTCCTTCCTTCCGCGGTCTGATTCTGCTATCCAGACCAGCATCAGCTTGGAGCCTGGTGTCGAGGTCGAGGTCACCATCTCCGCTTAGATTTGGTTGCTTGTCTCGGTTCTTTACGCTGTATGCGGTTTGGCTATGATATGCTCATTTTATGCTTGCATGACGATTTACTCGCGCTCTTGGTTCGATTGTTTGTCGGTTCATCATTGACACGAAGTGCGCAAGGTCGCGAATTGGCTGAGATGATTACGTTAGAGCACATGGGACCGCAGGATACACAACTGATATATACGCGAAGTTGCAGAGCGTACGACATAATAGCGATAGCGGTAAGTAGCAGAGAGTACTTAGATAGTTAGTCACTTACATACAGGGCGAATTACGGTCGATACAGACGAGATAGCATTCACAGACGAGAAGGATAGCGAGCGAGCGAGGACATGTACGTGGATGACATGCAGAGTGGGCAAAGCGCACAGTTGGAGACAGAAAACGAATGAGAGAAGACCCTAGTACCAGTTCATGAGATGAGGGTTTGAGTCCGGGGCCGGGAAATCGGTGCTTCCTCTCGTTGGGAAGTCACCACTCGTAATCGGTGGCCGATGGAGAGCAGACGTCGCAACTGCGTATTGGGCAGCGGCTGCAGCCAAGGCAGGAGGGGGAGGACCTCGAGTCATGGGTGCCATCGAGGTTGCGCTGTGTGGCATGTTTGCCGTCGTCAGATGCACAGGAGGCGCATAGTAGTGTGAAGAAGTGTTCGGTGGCGGCCATGGCGGGGTGCCCATCGCGGCGGACAGTGAACTTTCACCTGTTGAGACAACGGGATGGGGTGCGCTGGGGGGTCCGGCCGGGTATTGAGCTCGCACGGACGGTGGAGGCATAACTTCAGACCCATACTGCAACGCCGCTGGCTTCTTTTGAGTGAACCGTTTATCGGTCTCATCGGAAACATGACTCTTTCGGGTTCCAGCAATCGCCACGCCTCTCACCCTGCCTCCCGTGGAAGTCAGGCGCACTTTGTTGGGCACCGGCCTAGTGCCAAACACTTCAGAGCCTGGTGTGGTACCGATTGGTCCACCCATCGACAATGAAGCGATCACTTGGTCTGATTCTCCCCTATACAGAGGAGTTCCATCCAGAGTATGCTATGCATTTTCGCGAAGTCAGCTTCGTCTTTGATTGAAAGGGCGGGAGCTGACCTCAATCTTGGGTGGACATCGGAAGGCGGTAGCCTCCAGTAGTTCCGGGTCGATCGTAAACGCAGCAAGTTCGGGAACCGAAGACGGTGCGCGCAATCTACCGGCCTCGACGTCTGACGGCCGATAGTACGCGATCAAGTGAATAGTCGTTCCTGATGCAGTCTTGAGCGAAAAGGTCTCATCGAATATACGTGAGCTAGTGACCAGACAAGGATATGTACGCCACACCTTCTTCATGAGGCTATCGTCCTTGAACATCTTCGAATTTGTCAAACTGCCGAGTAGATTGCGTTCACGCGCAGGGTTGACTCCTCGTGTTGAGCCCAGGAGGCTTTTAGGCCGGCTGAGCTTGTCGCCACGGGGTCGAGAAACAGGCGGCTGAGTGGGTACGAACATATCTGCCTGGGTTATGGTCTTCTCATCTTCATCCGCTTCTGCATCCTCGTCGTCCTCCAGCTCATCGCCCTCCGGCCCCCAAGGCCTCTTCCTCTTCCCTCTGTTTTCCTGCCTGCCCGGCTCGCGCTCGCGCTCCCGATAGAGCATGAAGTTTCCCAACATTCTCGACGCACTCCAAACATAGCCATCCGTCCACCTTTTGATCCCGCTTTCCGGTTCCTGAAACACAAATACTGCGCCACTCGCGATGAGTGAGGTACGCTCGTCGGGAGATAGTCTCCGTGGGACGAAAGGAATAAAGCCGCGCCGCGCCGCGCCGATGACCACCAGGGCGTCATGCGTAGAGGCGATAAAGCCATGGTAGGGGGGTTGTTTCAAAGGCGCGTTGGTCTTCGCGGTGGAGGTATTGATCTTTGTATTTCTGGGGTCGGGCATTCCAGCCGATGATGGAGAATAGAGTTTCCCGCTGCGTGCGTACGTCAAGCGAGGTCGGAATGGAGGAGGCCAAGACGGTGCCAAACCTTATTTTGAGGTCCCCAATGCAATCGATCCGGTACGGAGAGCCTGTCCAACAGCAAACAGATGTGGTCGACCTGGAATCGGAGCGCGGCTCCCACGTCAGGCGAGCCTGAAAGGGCCCTCGACGGCGTCTGTGGCGGTCAACCCGAAGGTTTGTGTGCTTTCTTGCTAATCACCGACACGCTTAGATCATCAGATCGGAAATCATGCCGGAATCAGAGGCTGTTCTCCTCGTCATACCTACCACTCATCCGTCGTCTTAACTGCCTCTTCATTGGCGCCACGACCATGTTCAAGAGCGCGGCAACAAAAATCGCTCACAACAGCACCCTGACCTCCCTCAGCTTGGGGGGTAACAAGGATCTTCGGCCTCTGCAGGACTTGATCACAGCCGAGAAGGCCGTGCTTATATCGTATGCCCCACTTTCGGTGTAATTACACTCGACAGGCTGATGGATCTGGGCCTTGGTTGCTCTCTACAGGTTACAGAAGCTTAGTGTCGATCTGAGCAAGGCGGGAGACTCACTTCGGGCATGGGGACAGGGCGAGGGCGATGATTTGGGAGTGAGTGGTGCCCAGCGCATCTCATCTCGAGCGAGACGTAATGCTGACCATTATAATTCCTCTCCTAACCTTCCATAATCATTTCTCTGCTGTTAGGATATACTCACGGCTTCGTCCACGATCCTCTCACTCTGGTCGACGGCGCTGACAGCTTACGCATCACGCGAGCATGCCATACGAGATGTACGTTCCAAGCAGTATCTCGTCTTGTCTTTCACGTCGTAAAACATGGCGTTCATTCACTTGTACCCTCTCAACGCACTGACTGACCTCATCTCAGCAACTCAAGCAAATCAGAACTCGCGAAGAAGCCCTCGATGAGCTTAAACGAAGGCGCAAAGCCACTCATGCTCGAGCCGATAGTGCCGAGAAGAAGTTGAACAAGATGGGACCGGAGCACAAGAATTTGGGCGCGCAGACAGAGCTGCTTACGGGATTGCAAGCGCAGATTCGTTCTATGGATGGTGAGGCAAAGCTTCAGAGCAATTATCTATTTAACCTTGAGCAGTGGATATCATGAATGAAGAGACCTCTTTGTCAGACTTCAAGAGAAGTGCATCACGCGCTTTCCTGGGGCTGAAGTTCGGAGGATTGATGGAATGCTGCGAGAAGGGGTGCATCATCGCAGAGTCGGGTCGGTCAGTTGTCATGGTACGTCTGCGCACTTTTAGCCAGCTCTCAATCGCGCGTCCTACTTCGACATGCAGGAAATCCCTGAAGACACGACGCCGCCCGGGATGCCGCGCGCTCCATACGTGGGATATCAGCGTGCCTCCGATTACGTTGCAGAGGCCGAACGATGCGTAAACGAAGTCATCTTCACGCCGCTTCCATCTGGCGGGGTGCCCTCTGTCCCTCGGATCTCGACTGGAGTTGACGACCGGGCCAGCATGGCTGGAAGCTTTCTCCCACCAATCGCAGGTGGAAGTGTCATGGGCAGTCTCTCCGCTATCGGGATGCAGAATACGGGTATGAGCGCGTTCAGCGGCGTCAGCGGAGACGGGCTTCCTCCAACAAATCCCAGCCCGGCTTTCCTCCCACCTCCAGATGTTGGCAGTGGTGGTTTCATGGACAATGCGAGCCAGGGCGGATATCAGCCGCCTCTTTCTCCTCCAGGCAGTGGGTTCGCACCTTCGTCTCCCGGTGGCTATGCCCCTCCTTCGGGACCACCCCCGCCATCCGCATTCAATCCGTACGTTCCGGCTGAGGCAGAGCCGCCTCGAGAGGAGGTGGGGGTAATAGGGGGATCTGTGATTGGCGGATCATCGTCTGGAGGGACGGCTGGACCAGGTCTTGTAGGGGGTGGCCATTTCGCCACTTTCCCTGTACGCAGCAGAGGCCTTTCGCTCCGGGATGACAACGCGGGTGTTGTGGCTCCCAGCAGTTACTCGTACTCAGTCGACGGGCCTCCGTCCCTGGGCAGCTCTTCTCGAAAGGACTCGAGTGGAGATTTTATGAATGCTGTGATGGGTGCCGGAGAGTTCGGGACGTCAGTGGAATCTCCGGTCCAGGAAGGATCGAGCTCGCAGCCGTTCGTAGGCGTTTCGAATTCGCAGGTCAATGCCATGGCGAGGGTCACTTCGAAACAAGAAGAGCGAGAGCAGGAGCTTCAGAGAAGGACCTCAGAAGAGCCGGCTCCTGCGTATGTCGATTACGCGGAGCAGGCGAACGAGGAATCAGCAGCGGTCCCAATCGCGCCTACTATGTCGCCGGTGCAATCTGTTCACGCACAACCTCCTTCACCGATGCCTACTTCCCCCACGCACAAGCATTCCACATCTGATCCTGCTGGTCCCCCGCCGGGCGCAGCTGCCCCGGTTGTCGACACAGTCTGGACGGGCGAAAATCTCGCCACTTTCGATCCGCAAGCCATGAACGAGGGGGACCGAACGTCGTCATATTCGGATATTGGGCTGGCATATATGAGCATGGACGATGCTCCTGTCGAGGGCGAAAGCGAGCAGCAGCGAGAAGCGAGATTGTCGAGGCATGTTAGGTTTGGCCCGGAAGGAGTTTTTGGTGAAACAGGTGCGGCGATAGACCAGCCGTCTGGCATGTGCTGACGGAGATGATAGAACCGCCTATGCGAAGTCGTCAGAACTCCTCACCCGTTCCACCAGGCTCGGCTCTGAAGAACAAACGTATTCCGCCACCTGCGTTTGTCGATCGGGATGAGGAAGAGCGTGCTCTGAACGCTGCAGCTGCCAGAGAGATTACTTTGGAGATAGATGCATTGAGATCGAGCCATGCCCAAGACCATCCTTCGTCGCTTCAGCCTGCATCTCCGGTCGCCCCTCCTCCGCAGACTCACTTTGTGCCCCCTCCCAAACTCTCGTACAGTGTATCGCCACCTCCAAGAGAGGTTTCGCCGTCGGTTCCAGCCAAAGCGCCGTCGATTGAAATCGAGCCTGTCCAGCACACAACGCCCTCTTGGGCCATGTCGCCTGTCCTGCCGGCAGCTTCCGATGCACTGCCGGGCAGTCCATCGTCGCTTCGTGGCGCAGCGCCCTGGGCCACTCGGTCAACGTCTTCGCTGAACAGTGGCGGTGTACCGGCCGGTGCGCGGACCATCTCGGCTGCTGCGTTCCGGCGTCCGGTGCACAAATCGAGCGACTCTGGGGATGTCAGCTCGCTGGCGCTGAGGAAGCGGCTCCCGGCAAGCCCGTATCCAGAGCAGAGAGTCGCGAGCCAGAATTTGGATTCGTTCGATTACATCAGTGCTTATGGGCGAGATTCACAGGCCTTTTTCGACGACGAGGCGGCTGCGAGCGAACATAATGGAATTCGGTGAAAGGACACTGCCCGGTACTAATGTCTATGGCTATGTTATGTACGAAACATTCCTGCAAACCTTATGGATATGATCACTGTCGCGTCACGACCTGTCACAGTCGGCGCGTTTTGTCACATGCGGGGCACTCGGTTATAATCGGGCCGACAGTGCGACATCAGTGTGAAAGCATTTCCCCGTCGTAAACGACGTCAGTTAGTCAAACACCCACTGGCGCCGACCCGGTAATTTGCATCCGCTTCTCGGATACATCCAAAGCCCTCATCCTCGCACCATGTTGCCTCGTCGCAGCCTCAGTGCGAGCGCAGCGCGCTTTGTACGTGGCATGTCATCAACTTCCCCACAATCGTATTCCTTGCCCGTCCAACCACTTTCTCTGGACGAGGAAACCCGACAATTCGATGCCCGGGTCTCAGAAATGAACGAATTCTTTTCCCTTCCACGGTTTAGCCAGACCAAACGTCCGTACACTCCAGCGGACGTCGCAGTGAAACAAGGCTCGCTGCCCGTCCTGCCGCTCCCGTCGACGCTCCTAGCCGACAAGCTGTACGCTTTGCTCAGCCAGGCTGCGAGCGAGGGAAAGCCAGTGCATACGATGGGTGCCATTGACCCGGTGCAAATGACGCAGATGGCAGCGAACCAGGAGGTCGTGTATGTCTCGGGATGGGCGGCGAGCAGCGTGTTGACGGCGGGGAGCAACGAGGTCGGACCGGATCTGGGAGACTACCCGTACACAACCGTACCGAATCAAGTGCATCGGATCTTCAAGGCGCAGCAGTTGCATGACAAGAAGCATTATGATGAGCGGATGCTGGCCACTCCTGAAGCGCGCGCAAAGATGAAGTATATCGACTACTTGCGGCCTATCATTGCAGACGGAGATACCGGGTTTGTTCTGTCAGAAACGTACGGCCTTTGGCTGACTTGGATGCTCAGACATGGAGGTCTTTCGGCTGTATTAAAGCTGGTAAAACTGTTTGCCGAATCAGTGAGTGAACTACGTATGCTATCTATACAATGTGCTAATTCTCAAGGGCGCATCCGGAATACACTTAGAGGACCAACTTCATGGCGGCAAGAAAGTGAGGCATGTCCTCCGTGCTTCTACAGTGCTTGATCTTCGCGTCTAGTGCGGGCATCTCGGCGGAAAAGTCGTCGTCCCTACCTCGACACACATCTCTCGACTCGTTGCGGCTCGATTCCAGCTTGATCTAATGAAATCCACCATGCTTACTATCGCCCGCACCGATTCCGAGTCCGCAAAACTGCTTTCGTCGTCTGTTGATTCGGCCGACCACGAATATATCCAGGGCACAACCAACAGGAAGGGCAAGGGCTTGTCACAGGTTCTCGCTGAGGCCGAGACGAACGGTGCGACGGGTCCGGAAATCGATGCTTTGGAGCAGAGGTGGATGAATGAGAATCCGTTGTGCACCTTCAATGAAGGTAGGGTCCGCATCTCCAATGTGCGCTGGCTGATTCTGGAACTCGCAGCGGTCGAGAAAGCTGTTCAACAGTCATTGATTGAGGACAAAGACACCCAATATCAGGCTTACCTCAAGTCGGTCGACGGGAAGTCGCACTATGAAGCGAGGGAGCTCGCAGCGGAAATTCTTGGGGAGCCGGTATTCTGGGATTGTGATCGTGAGACTCCTACGCCGTGTCTCGTTTCCGTGTTGATTTCGATTTTCAAAGTTCCACGAACCAGGGAAGGATACTACCGAACAACAGGTGGAACAGAAGCTGCAATTAAACGCGCGCTCGCGTTCGCACCTTACGCAGATATGATCTGGTTGGAAACCAAGGAGCCTGATCTTGAGCAGGCACGGTACTTTGCACGCAAGATCCGAGAAAAGTTCCCTGGAAAGTTCGTGTTCCTGTTGCCATTCTTGCGAGCTGTTGACATTTGTACACAGATGGTTTGTTTACAACTTGAGCCCGAGCTTCAACTGGGCGAAACACGGTTTCACTGGTGCGTGGTTGATCAGAAATATGAAGCATGGAACACCCTTGTTTATCAAGGCTCCCAAATAGATGAACAACTGAAGAGCTTCGTTTGGGATCTTGCGAAAGAAGGGTTGGTGTTCCCCGCCGCTCGGAGACAGTCTACCTGACCGTATCCAGATTCGTGTTCCAGCTGATCTCTTTGGCTGGGCTGCACAGTGGTGCTGTCATCACCGGTCTGCTTTGCCATCTCATCTCACTCTGAAACACTACTCACATGCGGTTCAGCGGAGCTATCGCAACGTTTCAAGGAGGACGGGATGCTTGCTTACGTCCAGCTCATTCAGCAGAAAGAGCGCGAGATTGGCTGCGACGTGCTCACACACCAACGATGGTGCGTTTCGTGGTTTTGCCAGCGACTTTACTGACACGTGTTCTAGGAGTGGCGCGAACTACATCGACGGGATCCTGCAGACTGTGTCGTCTGGATCTTCGAGCACGTTGTCGACGGGGAACGATTCCACCGAAAATGCTTTCTGATTTGCTAGTTGCGCTATCATCTAATCTCAATTGTATCCAAGTTGCACCCTCTGTGGTCACCGACCTCAGGAAGTACGCGATCACGTGCAAATATTCCGCTTCTGAGATCAGTCACATGAACCATCAACATGCCGATGACGAGATCACCGTCCCTTCATTCTTTTTGAGAAACTTGGACAAATGTTCTGCTCATCTCGCCCACTCGATTCCCTACGCAGGCAAAGAGCCACCGTCTACCAGCTCTGATACGACGGCTATTTGTAAACGCCTCCATCTGGAAGTGATTTGCATCGACAAGGGCGAGCTAGAGGAAATCCTGGGGCGGATCGAGGAGAGTGAAGGGAGTGAGAAATGGGTGAAGCCGCTGCAATACGGGAAAGGACCTCCTCGAGTATCATGTCATCGACATTGGCGATGATGAAGATAACGAAGATGCCCTTCTGGGGAAAACGCTAGCAGCGGATGGAGATGTCTATCCGCAAGTCTCCGAGAACGGATTCGGCTCTTAGAGCGGAGAGGGTGAAAAGGTGCTAACTCTGTGCGAGTCTAGGATTGCGCATTATCGCCAATCTCTTCGATGGAGAGAGCTTGTGCTGGGTCTAGTCAGCTGGTCGAGTCGCCTCGCGGTCCTGTATGTGTCCATCCCGGCCCTCGCCTCGCTGCTGGGCATATAACATCTCGGGTTGCATTTCGTGAAGCAGCATTGCTTAGCGCTCTGTCACCTGACGAAACAACATATGTATACGATGAAGACCTTGGGTGCTGCTGAGAGGTACGTGGAATCGCCTCGTTCGAGTTTTGGGCGTTTGATCGGCAGATGATGATGGGGGAAGGCAAGGGCGATAGCATCCGTGAGAGAAATTTCGAGGACTTAGCGAGACAAGAGTGCAGCTGCTTACGTCGGACCTGCAGGAACTGTCTATGACATGGGTCGACGCTGCCACTCTGTGCGAGGGACAGGGACTGCCAACATGTCTCGGCGAATAAGTGGCCCCTCGGCCAGAGTGGCGAAGAAAGCGAACGTTGAGACTAGACTCTGGTTCGGATTTTCGCGACACTGAAGGCTATTATTCCTTCGCCATCCGCTGGTTCGGCTCAAGTACTCGATATGATCCCGGACGCTTTAACCGGCCACTTGCTTTCGCTATCTAGTCTTCCAGAGTTGCTCGGGACACTGTTCCGCAATGACTCGGTGACAGACTGGATCGCTCGATGCGAAGCGTACTATGCCACGATTGGTCTCCTCCGCAGAACGGCTCGAGTGAACAGTAGAAGTCCTCCTTGGCCCTCGCTTCTCTTTCAATCAGACTTCTGGCATTCAAGACTGAAGGCGGGATCAAGGGGCTCCTCTCTCAGGGCAGGTCGGCTCGCACGGACAGCGCGAGACATCTACATCACTATACAACGACCTCCAGAAGTTCGCCAAGCAATGTGGCACATTTCTCTCAAATGTTCTGCAGGTGACCCATGGCTACGATGAAGATGAGGAAGACTCAGCCAGGCAACGTCCCTTTGGGGATAGAAATCCCCGCGCGTGACGACATTCAGCAAGCGATCGGTGTTCTAGGTCACTAGCGCATGAGCAAGAACCGAGAGAACACGATTGCAGCCGACACATGCAAAGCCTACGCAGAAGCTTGCGACAATTTGGCATTTAGACACGTTGCGATCGATTCATCTCGTTATCTTCACAGGCGCGAGCTTGAAGCTTCTGGCTCTGGCACGAGGGCCCGAAGGATCGACTGCATTCGCCCAAAGAACTCGGCGTCACGGTGACCAGTCTACCGTCAGGCATCATTGGCAGAGTTGATGAGATTTGGAATGATGCTATGTGAGTTCACATACTTTCTGAGCGGGGGAATATTTATCCAGTGTTCTATCAGCCAAGTTATTACAGCTGGTCTCGAAGACACACTCTACAACAAGGAACTGCTTCCGTTTGATTTCTTTCTGCAGCTTGCTTATCTTGTGACTTCCCCACTGGTCCATCTTCGAACTACGGGTGGCGGCGTGATTCGCTTCAACCCCAATTTGTAAGGACTCGCCAGCGATCGAGCAAGCGCACCACGCTGAACGCAACAGCACATATATGCAAATGGCAAGGTACGTCCAGTCTTTCCATCCGGCGGCGCTGGACCTCACAAGCGTGATGTCAATACAAGGTTTGCCTGTCCTCGCTAGGAACTTGGCCCGGTCGTCCAGAAGAGCAGTGGTCTTCAAAATCGGCGCTACTGCACGTTGTCACCAGCTTCCAAGCTATGATCCTCGTGTCCGTCCTATACTTTAATGAATGGGCTTTCGACTTTGACCACTTTGCCGGCTCACATTTTCACCGTCCTGGTCACGTTCAGGTTAACCTCAACGCACCTGCAAGCAAAGGTTATAACCGGAATATATGCTTGCACATGTGCCATGGCGATCGCCAATTGGTTGAAAGAGGAGCTTCGACAGGGTATCTGTAAGGTGATTGCGCGTCAGATCGGCCGGTCGGTCCATCATGGTAAAGTGGATGTCATATTGTTGCACCTTACCATAAGAAAGAACAGCATTCGAGAGTTGCGGGTTCTTGCAGCTAAATGCAATCCTATTTTAAACCTTGTCAGTATCTTGGCGTGGGCTGCCCATACCCAAATCCCCAGCAAAGGAAACCGTGGCTTGAGAGGAGCATATGGATACTGCCCTAGTTTCGGGAATGTCCCGGTACTCGAGGGCCGAAGCGGGTCGGCAAACATCAATCCAGTTTCGATTTCCGGCCTGGACGCTGGATGCGAAGACTACATCGATGGACCACTTCGTGAACGAGTTTGAGGCACAGCAGGGACCACAGTACCTATTTATGTAAAATAACGTTGAGGTGCGTATGGCACATGCGCATTCGCTGAGTTGAATTTTGCATTTCAAAGTTTCCGCTTCCAATTTCCACGGAACCTTGAAACCTTCCATCATGTGCATGATCCTTTCCCTCTGACTTTCCAGCGTGGCTCTGAACGTGGTCCTTTTCCGTCCGAATCTCCGGTTGTCTCCTTTGCCGTCGCAGTATTCGTCACATTGACTCCAAAATCGCGACTCGACTCATGCATCGCGGTGGAGTATGAGTGGGCACGATGTCCGGATTTTGACGTTCGGTGGTAGGCGTCGGACCAATTATCGACCTGCCAGTCAAATGGGACCTCTTCCAACACCCCCGCCATTCTTCTCAAATTGCTGCGAAGAAAAGAATGCCATGTTCTGGATCACCCACGTCAGATCGACGTTGCAGATTCGTCCGCGGAATGAAGTCTTCGTAGACCGTTAAGTAAATGAGGGGTGGGGGGAACTGGGCATAGTCGGGCTCTCGGTTATCTTCGTGCACGGTGCGTGTCCTGCGGCTTTCATTTGCGCGTCGTTTAACGCGCGCATGTCAGCCATCATGCCAGGCAGATTGACGACGACGGCGTCCTCTACCCTATTACACGCTGCCATCGTATACACGTCTCCCCAACTTCGAGAATTCGACAATCTTGCATTTGGACACGCGCGCTGCGAAGGAGGAGCCTCCCCTGCGTTTTCTTCCCTGCCACCCGAGATCTTGCTCATGATTCGCGCGCAACTTGTCCCCCTCCTGATGGTTCATTTCCTGGGTCTGTCTACCTCTGCCTTGCACCAGCACGAAGAATCGATGCGAGACATGCTCTGTCCGCAGTGCTCGGCGTACAACGAGTACGTGTATGGCAGAGATGTCTGGACGTGGCCTCTTTCCGGACCATGCTCGTGCGTAGACCATTGCGGTCCTGTGTCCTGCCCGCCTCGTCCGAGTGTGAACCAGTTCCGAGATCGTCTTCATTGGCTGGAGACCTACCTCTCGACAACCGTTCTCCATTTCGCTAGCCCTTCCTCCGACCTATCGTCGACAGCGTCCCGACTCGCGATATGGGATGCCGTGGATGCTCTCTTGGAAGAACACGACTGCGAGATCACTGCGAGGCGAATGACTCCTTTCGTCGTGTTAGCTTCCCGCTGTCCTCAATCGCCGTGGAGAATGGATCTCCTGCGACGCGACTTTGGTTTGGACTGTTACGCAGACCATTGGCAACATTCTTCTGCTGTCAGCGGCGACCAGGACCCCAGCCAGTCCGCACTGCTTGCTCACCGCACGGCGTTCATCTCGCTCGCGAGTCATCCCGGCAAATCGCATCGCCGGTGGAACGGGATTGGGGTTGCACAGATCCTCGAGACCGTTGCTGCGCCGGTGACTGCTGTCGTGTCTGTGCTGGTCTCTTCCTTCACGCTCTTCGTTGTCATCGTGTGCTTCTACTCTAGACCGTCTGCATTTCGAGTCCTTTGATCCTTCCCCTGTACCAGTTTCCCTGCAATCTTCGTGTACATTCCAGATTCTGATGTATTCACCACCGCCCTCTTCATCTGTACAGTATGTCAACAAACATCGACCACATATTCTGAGCTTCATCGCACTGCGCTGAGTGGGAGAGAAGCCAGTGACGGCATCGAAATGACAGCGGAAGCACGCAGCAACCCGGTACCGACTGCAGAAGTTGCGACGACATTAGTAAGGCCAACGCAGTGTCTCAATCTGTCAAACCGAAACGGTTTGAGCCTTGCCTGAAACGTCGCCCAGCCATAACCCAGCGTCACACTGGAAATGGAAGCTCAATGATGATGGTCGAGCCCAGACTGGGACCGGACTGCCGCAGCGGTATAACCACCCATGGTCCGAAAAGGGAAAGAGCTGTTATGGCCGCAAAGAGTGCCCAATCAAGGTCATGGCGATCGAGGATCAGGTTTGTTGTCTTTCACCAGCTTAACTGTCGAATCTCTGCGTATACTTATCATTAACTTACAGGACGATCTAGTCAGTCCATATTTTCGTTTCTCCATCACAACACAGACCGAATAAATGAGCAAGGATTCGCAAAAAATACACGTATTCGTCTGATAAAATACACAGGGCTTCATCCTTGTGCGCGACCGCCCCTCAAAGCACCGCCTACCGACGGTTGTTGTTCATAGACAGGATTTGAACGAGACGAATGCTAGTTAGACGGTCAGGCTCATTGTGATGGCAGGAAAGGCTGCTACGCACAATATGTTGATCATATCGAGCTGGAGACCAACAGCCTCGTTGATGGGATCCGCCTTCATCCTTCCCTGCTCGGCCATCCGCGCATGCGCCAAGATTTTCTGGGTGCTGAACAGGCAATCGGTCAGTTGCGGGCACTCGAATCCATGGAATGTGTTGGTACATACTCATACAACACAAATCCACCAAAGACGGCCAATCCACCGTACAGGTAGAGACCCTCTGTCACAGCAAGGGTCGGACAGCGGTGACGGGCAGCACGAGGGGAGCGAAGGCGCTCAGGGCAACTACGGAGACACCGGCGAGGAGGGGACCGCCAAGCATCAAGTATTTGTCGTTCGTCGCCGTCGCACCGACATATGAGAGCGCACCGACGAGACCGACCGTGTATAGGCCGGCCCGGGCAAGAACGGCAGGGTTAAGGAAGAAAAGGGGAGAGAGCGTGGCGGCTTGGAACGCATTGAAGGTCTAGTGAGAGGAACAGCTTCAGTCCACACACCACTTGCCCGTCGCAAATCACACTACGCACCAGCCAGAAAAGATGCTTGGGGATGGTGTTCTCTGGAGGCGTGTAGAACACGCCCATCATGGACCCAATCCCGCCCGCCAGACTGGCGCCGAAGACGACCCACGGGTTCGCGGCCATGATTCGGAACGCGACGCCCGAGGTGAACATCGCACGCGCCGCTGCCGCGGTGATCGCAAGCCCGACACCGGTGTATGCGAATGTCGAATTGAGCAGGACCGTTCGCTGGCGGAGAGCCCGTCACGCGTCTCACGGTTCATGAGGCTGTCGAGGACCACCACGCTCCCAGCGACACCGCCAGCAATGAGGGCAACACGCTGCCATGAGACGGGCTTCGCTGTCTCGATTATGGGCACTTCGGTGGAGTATCGAGGAAATTTGAGCTTGGTCAAAGATTCGCGTTGTTTTCTCAGAGTTTGCAGGATATTAGGTCGGAGTTGGGAAAATGGCGGATGGGGGCTGAGGGTTTCACGCGGGCTGCGTTGACCCCAATTGGTCGCAGCGACGACAGACCCTGGCGGAACATGTGAAGGTGAAGATGAAAGTTGTGTGAACTACAGCCGCCAATCGCCGGCTTATATGACGAATGGTGGCTATGCAGTGCCGATGATATACGTCATCGGCCGGGTGGACGGAACGATGGAGAACATACACGAAAGCCGCTCTGCTTGCTATTGTAAGAGATACAGTCAGATATTTACTTGCTTATACGTGTGCAAGAGCTTTCCGAGACCGAAATTGTAACTGAGTTGAGTCAGCCGGGTGACGGCGGTGTTTTCAAGAAAGTGAATCATACCCGAGCCGTCAGTACTGCTGGTTATCTACTGAGTTGAGAAGTGGATCAGCAATCATCCGCCCTCGTTCGATTTT